ACATTTTATGAAGATACACTGTTTGAGAACTATTACTGCAGAAATTCTACTTAACTGGGCTGTTGGGCTGTTTTAAAAGTGCTCTTTTTATCCTTGTCTTTTTGAAGATTTCTGCACTTATTAAATATCACCATATGCATCTGTTTTGCTTTCATGAGCATAGTCCCACAATTCTGATTTCTAAATTAAACCCTTCATAGGAGATAGCTGTACCTTAATGACTAAACCTAAATGACAAATGGCTAAACCTAAATAAAAGCACAAGTGATGCTACTGAAGGGACAGGGTTTTTGGAGAATTCTTTTTTATTTTTTGCAGGGACCTACATGCAATATGTCAGTTTAGCTCTGTTTTGTGGAGAGCGCTTCTTAAGGCTTCTGTGGATTTTTCAGAGCAGCACCTGAGGATAATGGAGTTTTTTTCTCTCCCTGGTGGTTTTGAGTGTTCAGCATCATGATGTAAAGTGATTTCAGGTTGGATATAAGAATATTTTTTAGGGTTTATTTGGGTAGCAGTAGTGCCTAGAGAAGTCCAGCTGATTAAGTCTGCTGCTATGTGTCTTTTTGACAAGGTTCATAACAGCAAATATAATAAGCCTCCTGTAAACTGACTTCATTTTTAGATTGACTTTTACCTACAGAGCATCAAATAAAGGCCAGGGCTTGAAACAGAGCCTGCAAAAAGTCTCTGTAGACTAATTCTAGTTGTGCAGTGTAGACAGTGATTAGCACCATATTCCTTGGGTTCAGTGAATTGTCCTACAGCACAGATACCGGTTTTCTCTCTTGGACCATCAGCTGAAAGGATCTAAGTGCAGGGAGTGTGGGTTGTCACACACAGGAGCAATAAAAACACCCAGTCTGCACAGGTGGAGGATGCTAATCCCTCTTCCAGCATTTTTATTTGCATTACACAATCCTGTGTGATTGCCACGCTAGCAGCACACTCAGCTTTGCAGGCTGTACACAAAGACCACAGAGACCCTTGCTCCTGTGTTTAGAAGTACTGTGGGGACAATAAGCTGTACAGTAATTTGGTGCTGTCTTTCTTGTCTGTTGCCAGAATAGAGGACAGGAAACACTTGTGTAAAAAAAACGGTTGGATATAATCTATACTTTTGCATCTTAAAGAAGGAAAAAGTTACTGCTTCATCTTTCCAGGGAAGAATGCCCAGGTTATGGGGTGTGGTGCTGTTGGTGATTCCCAGAGCAGTCGTGTAGCCCTGGAAGGAGCCTCAGCAGGAATCAGGCATTTCATGGCACCCAGAGCAGCTCTGTGGGACAGCCTGGAACAGCTGGGATGCCTTGCAGCTTTACATCCATCTGCAAAACATTTCACAGTCTAATACAAGGAAATCAGAGGCACAAGCCTGCAGGGGAGTTTTCTCATTGTATTTCTCTTGGATCCATGGTGCTTATCAGTGATGGAACAGCCTGGCTCTGTTTGGGCCCGTTGGTTTTCAGTCTCTTCAGTGCTCTGTTGTCAGCCAGTGTCAGCATTTCCTCCAGATCATCCACTGCTTTTCCTCCAGATCATCCACTGCTTTGATGTGCCTTCCTGCTTTGTGTAAAAGTTACAACCATGTCTTTGTCTCTGGCCTGTGTTAGGGCTGGCTTGTCCTCACTGTTTATAACAAGGCAGAATTACAGCAACAAAGGAACCCTGGCAAGCACCACCTTCCCCCAGCCCCTGAGAGCTGGGCATTGCTGGAAGGAGAAACACTGCAGAATTTACCCTTTGTCCTTTTGGTCTTTCTGAACAAGGTTTTTAATCTAATGTGACTTTTGTGCCAGCAAATCTTGATAAAATTCTACTTGGAATATTTAATATTTTAATTTGCTTTGAAGGTTTCTTTAAAACTGCGTGTTACAAGCACATCAGTGGGAAAATTGAGCATTTGTTCATCTGGCAGGTGTTGACATTGATGATGTGAAGATGTTTCCAGTTTCCCCCTCTCTCTCTGTAGTTGATAATAACACTGTTGATTTTCTTTCCATATTAAATAATCAAAAACTCTCAATTTTAAAGCTCAGTGGAAAGTACAGTGGATTTTGCAGAATCTGTCCCTGATAGCATAGAACATGAGTTTAATTTGCATTAGAGAAGGTCAGGAGTCCTTGACAAAGTGAATGTTGTGCAGGACAGCATCTGATGGTGTGCTCTGAACCACCAGGTGTGGCCACCACCAGGTACTTCATCTCCAGTAATGTTACTGGAATGTTTTTCCCTTCATTTTTTGGGTAGTTTTTTTTTTTTTTTTTTCAGATTGTACTTTGACTTTGAAACTGTTTGAGATATTGAACCTGTCATTTAGACTTGGAGTATTGTTAGAGCTCACATCTCAGTTTTTCCACCATTTGGTTTGGATAAAATTTTGCCCTTTAGGGAAAACAGTTTGGCTTTAACACTTCATAGCTGCAGCGTAGATAATATGAGCAGATTTTACAGTCTCCCTCAATTCAAAGCTAGTGTTTCTCAGCAGTTTCAGTTCTTGACAGATACAGCCTTTAAAACAAGATTCAGCACTTGTGCTGTCACTTGTGTAGCAGTCACAGAGACTGGAGGTGGACTCTTGTCTAAACTGCAACAAGCAAAGCCTCTGTGCTGCTTTCAGTGTCTTTCCTCCTCAAACGTGTTCTCACATGAGTGTACTCAGCAGGGATTTTGAGAAACTTTGTTGATTTAAAATTAATCTCTTTCACTGAGTTTCACTGCCAAAAGCAGTTTTAGTGGGGTATGGTTTTGTTTACAGCAGTGCAGCTGATCCTTGTCAACTATCTCACAGTACATCTTAGCATAGGAAAGGATCAGAAGATGTATTTGAGGAGCAAATCCAAACCCTCCTTTCTCACTTAACCTCTCTCTGTCACAATATAGTCTACCACACATAGTGAAGAGTTTGCACGCAGGCATTCAAGATCTCTGCATCTGTGAAAAAAGCATATAATGTATAGGAGTGGAGAAACTTGGCAAGAGCAGGCAGCTGCTGAGTTTGTTTGGGCTCTTTTTAAGCTCTTGTTAAATGTAAAAGCAAATAGTTATCTTCTGGTTTCCACTGTGACCTTGGACTTTGAGCATTGTCAAAAACTCTGGGGTGTTGGTGTTTTATTCTAATTGCTGAATTGCTTGTGTGCAGCATTTCTGAGTGAGAAGTGAGCATTGGACATGCACTGAAGCTGAGTACAATGAAACTGCAACAAATAATCATATCCTAAACTATGAAACAGAGGTGAAAATATGGCATCCAAATGTATTTGGCCTCTGGAAATGAGAAAGGCTGTGGGATTACTCAAAATGTGTATGCATTGTACATGATTTATTGTATCTGATAACTTGGAGATAAAAAACAAAGTTGTAAATCCTTGTATTCTGTCTCAGGAGTAACTCTGGCTTGAGTCACGTGGGCTGAGTGAAATCAGTGCAATTGTTAGTTTAGCTTTGTCAGTGCTTTCCAATTTTTTATTCATATAGTCAAAGGCTTACTGGAAATTGTGACTTCTTGCTGGGCTGTCCCTTGCAGCAGAGTTCTCCTGTGATTCTGTTAAAGAAACCTTCCAGTGGGAGCTCCATGTTAACCTACCCAGTTTGTTTCTACCTATGGCCTCATGGAGCCTTAGAGCTGTTTCCCAGAGGGGAACAAGGCTGAAATCTGGTTTCTTTTACATCCATGTTGAGTAGGAATGATATGTGATCTGCTGCTGGCAAGTCCTGTAGCTGACCACTGGGGTGTATTCTGAACATAGCACAGGGTCTCCTGAGCAGCTAAAATGTGTTCCTCATTAAAACTCCTGATGAGCACTGTGCTTAAGCTGCGTTTGTGAAAGTGAGCTGTCAGATGGTATTTGTTAATTTTTACAAAAGCTGTCTATTTTTCTTTCTTTGTGAGATCACCTCCATCTATGGTGCCCCAAGCTGCAATAAGCAGTGGAGTAGTGTGGGAGGGTTCTTGCTTTATTGTGAGTCTGTGTGAATGAGAATTATACTCGTGGCTTTCTGTTCTTCAGGGGGATAAGCAGTGCTGCCAAGTAATCCTAAACTTGCTTTCTAACTCTTGTTTTACTCCACAGAAAGAAAGTGGGGAAACAGTTAAAAAAAACTAACTCAATAAAAGTTAGTAATAAAATTTTTCCATTTATTGAAAATGGTCCCCACATGGGGAGAGTGTGAGATGTGCAAATGATGCTGTCAGGAGGTATATGCTGTCTTGCTGCAGAGACTTGATTTTAGTTTTTTCTCTAAATGATTGTAAGGGCCTTTTTAGAGATAGAAGAGAAATGTTAGTTGTTTCTCAGGTCAATTCTTTACATTAAAAAATGACAGCACGTGCAAGATTGCTTCAAATGTTCTTCCTAGTGCTGCTTGACTGGACTGCTTGACAATCTTCAGTCAAAAGGCCAGCCCGGCCCAGTTTCAAATCTTAATTTCTTTTCTACCTTCTCTTCCTGTTACCTTATCTCTTTCCTCCTAGTCCCTCCTTCCTTGCATCCCTCATTCTCCAAATGCACTAGCATTGCTTTTCTCTCTTAGCCTTTGAATCAATCCTTTTTGTGTCACAAAACAACGTGACATACAGGACAAACTCCATTGCTAAAGGTGCTGTGACTTATAAATGAAATCTGCTCTAAATTCAAAAGCCCTTAAATTGGAGGAAGACTGTAGTGAAATACCTGTTTGCTGACTGAGAAATCACAGATGTTTTGAATTCTTGTGGGGTAATTCCTGACACTTTAAAAATGGTGACACAGTAGCTCTGGAGCTCTTTCTACCCGTGCCTCTTCTCTTTGCTGGCATCATGTGCAGGTTTGGAGGCCCCCAGGTTGGATCACTAGCTCTGGATGCCTCCTAGGATTTGTGAATGGCCACTGAAAGCAATACAGGAATAGAAGCCATGTGATTGTAGCTTCAATAGAAGCTTTGATATCTGCTGGGAAGTGTGTCACTTTATTACATTCTCAGACCAGGTGTTTTACTCTGATTTTTCTTTCTTTCTTTCCACGTAGGCTGTGTGTCATCCTGAGCAATGGCCCCCTTCCTACGGATATCTTTCAACTCCTTTGAGCTGGGACCTGGGCAGAATGAAGGAGAACAACTCCAGCCTTTCTGTGCTATCAAGATGAAGGAAGCTCTCACTACAGGTGAGGTTACAAATGGAGATGCTTTTCTGAATATCAGTAAATTTTTGAGAACTACTGTAAACCTCCTTAATCTGTGAATGGCAGTGAGTCCTTCTCTTCCTGTCATGCCAAGCACTTCAATGTGAGCTTTTCTTTTGGAATGGGAGAAAGAATAATGGCTGTTTTCTCTACCTCCACCTTAAAGCAAGGTTTCTTTATTAGTACTCAGGACAGGAAGCTGGATCAGGTTTGAGGGAACTGTCCTCAAGTAGAGAGCAGCAGAGGCTCTTTATGGGCTTGGAGGATGAGAGGTGCAGTTTGTTATTGTTGTAGTAACCGAGGTGCTTTGGCTGAGTTGTTTGCTTGAAATGACTCCCACTGAAGGTCCTCTTAGCACAGAAACACAGAATGGGCTGTGCTGGAAGGGAGCCTCAATGATCACAGAGTCCAGCTCCTGGCCCTGCATGGCCAGCAGTCCCACCCTGTGCCTGAGAGCGCTGTCCAAAGGCTCCTGGAGCTCTGGTAGCCCTGGGGAGCTCTGGGCCCCTTCCCTGGGGAGCCTCTTCAGGGCCCCACCACCTTCTGGGAGGAACCTTTTTGTAATAGCCAGCCTCAGCCTGCCCTGACACAACTTCAGGCCATTCCCTCAGGCCCTGTCACTGTCACCCAGAGCAGAGATCAGTGCTTGCCCCTCACAAGAAGCTTGTAACTCAGTCTTCTCCAACTGAACAGACCAAGTGACTCACCAGGCCCTCAGCCTTCAGAGACCTCATCTTTACAGAAACTGTAAAGGTTTATAATATCTTCAGACATTTGGCTAGAATACACCACTGCAGCCAAACAGGATGAGGGGGAATTGATGTATTGCTGGACTGCAGCTCTAATTCTGCACTATGGCTCTAGAGATTCACAAAACATCAAAGAATGCAGTAAAGGGTGAAGTTTCATCTTCCTCGCAACATGATTGGTCTTTTCCCTTATTGCTATGGGTAAAAGCTGCATTTAAGCTTGAAATTCGAGGCATGGTGCCTTTTCCACAAAGTTTTGTCATCCAGCAAATGTTCTAAGCTCCAAAGAAGTAGTTTCCTAATCTGCTGGGAGAACCTCTGAAGAAATGGTGTTGAAGGTGTTGCAGGTGCCAGAATATGTGGAGAAATTAAAGTAATTTAAATAAATCCACTGGTTTTTTTCCCAGCCTTTTGCTTTTGAAAAGTAGAATTGTCCCAATATTTCCCAGTCTTTGCTTCTCTGTGTCTTTGACATACTAAAAAAAAGGGGAGGAGAGGGAACTGCTTGGAGAGACGAGTGATTGGAGTAATCAGGAAAACAATCTGATGCTCCTGCTGTCAGTTTGACAAGATCTGGAACAGCTTTTTTGTTGGATTTGAATGCTGAAACACAATCAGGGAAAATTTATTGCATAGGAAGAAGAAACTCATAGAGCTTAATGATTGGGCATGGAGCCAGTTTGCAAACATGGGATGTGTTCTGAAGTCAGGAGTGTGAGCAGAGAAGCCAAGCTGAGCACAGCAGAGGCAGGAACAGTGTCCTTGAAGGCTGTCCTTTGCTGACCCTCCAGTGTTCATCTGCAGACAGGGGTTGTGACCCATGACAAACCTTGATTAGCATGATTGTAATTACAAAAGCAGCATGGCTGGGCTGGAAGCTGTTTCCAGTAACTGAGACACCTTCTCTATGTTTTATGTAGGGTAAAAATGTATAGAGTTGACTGATGAGAGCAGATGTTGGGACATGGGACTAGGGAGGGGAGAGGCTGTGAACAGACTGGAATCATTCTTTCCCCTTCTAAGAATCTTACAAAGAGATCTTACAAATTCTTTACAAACTGCTGCTGTTTCTGCAAACCCTGAATTACTGTCAAAGGTTCTGCAAATATGCAATCCCCTATTGCCAAGGATGCCTTCTGAATTGTGCCTTTTTGATGAAGGGGTCTGGCTTCAACAATCCAAAAAGCAGGGCAGTGTAAAAGCCTTGCTGTGCAGACAGCCTGCTTTTTATCTCCCTCCTCACCTTTATTGCCTGTCCTAATCATATCTAAATAAATGTGTAGATGTGGCACTTGGGGACATGGTTTAACAATGGCCTTGGTGGTGCAGGATTAGTGGTTGGACTTGATGATCTTAAAGATCTTTTTCAACCTAAACAATTCAGTGATTCTGTGACAATATTTTCAAGTTTTTTTTTTTTCATAGAACCAGGCTCTGGAGGTAGGTTTGCACTGTGAAGGGCTTGAGCCTTCATCTGCACAGTTCCTCAAATTCAAGAGAAAAGCTTTAAACTGAGTACAGGAGGAATGCTCAAGCTTGCTGTGCAGTGGAGAGGCCCTCAGGTGGCCGTTTCTGAGCATTTTGGGATCTCCTTTGGCAAGTGGCTCAGGGCTGTGTCTGAGCTGTAGCTCCCAGTGCTGCTGCTGGCAGGCATTCCCTAATAAAGCAGTGCAGGGACGCCATTCCCTGGGCTGGTCTGCAGAGCTCAGCACAGCTGAGTGGAGTGCATCCAGGAGCTCTTCATCAATGAACACTGACTGTGCCTTGAGATTCCAAGAAGTTTTAAAATATTAAGTATCTAACAGACCACACTGCAGCTTCCCGGGGAAGGGTCCAAGTATTTAATCTGCTTTACAACTGCCTTGATATCATAACAGCAAATGGATCATTCAGAGCTGGAGAGGCACTTAGAAAGCACTTCTATTGCAAAAAAAAATCTTGATAAATAGCAGAAATTATGTAGAATGTAGGAAATTGTGTTCAGTTACCTGGGCACAAATGGAGAATAATTGACTTGGCAGCAAATCAGAGGAAAACTGGGAGGTGGCTCTGTGTGCCAGAGTCACAGTGAAGAGCTGGATGTGGTTTCTTGGGAGGCATCATCACTTTGGATGTGTTGATGGGACTTAGAGACTCAGATCTAGAAATATGCCAAAGCTTATCATAGATTGTGCAGTCACTGGCTGTTTTCTGTGCCAAAGATATGAACAGGAAGAAATCAGTTTAATGGGTAGCAGGAGAGACTGAAGCTGTGTATTAGAATCATAGAATACCAGGCTGGAAGGTACTTCAAGGATCATCCAGCCTTTCTCGGCAAAAAGGAAAAGAAAATCCATCTAATAAGAATAGTAGAGCAATGTAAACTCCTAACAAAGGAGTGTGCTGAGATGTTCTTAAAGGAAATCCAAAAAAAAGAAGAAAAAAGGACATTTTTTGAGGTAATTTTAGCTTTTTTATTATTCATTTACGACACAAGGTCTGCATGGACTGTAGAGGACAGATAAGGCCCTGAAATATCATTTAAAAAGTGACAGTCATGATAGAGTACAATGCCAAAGAGAGTGACTTATGAATACAAGTGAAATGTTGGGATAACTTGGACATAGATTAATGGAATGTGAAGCCTTTCATCTCTCAGACACTGGTTCCAATTTAAAGTGGGTCAGTGTGAGGTTTATTTTAAATTATCTTGTAGCAGTAGGTGTTCTCCATGATCAGATGGCACCTGATGGAGATTTGTACCAGAATGGAGCCATGCAAGTGTTCCCTGGCAAGTTGGGGCTGACTAACCCAGCTCATGAGTTCCACATCAGGGTTTGTCCCTCCTGTTCCCTAGCTCCATGTTAACCCCTTCACTGCCTTTGCATGTTCGTCAGGGTGGGCTTTGCCTTCCATGTCATGAACTTTTGAACTGAGCATTTAAACCTTGTTCCAGCAACAGTAAAAGAAGCAGTAAGTCTGCTTGTAGTTTCAGTACAAGTATTCCCTCTTTTATTTTGTTGAGTTTAAATGCTAGATCTATGTACATTTTATGGTTTCTGTTCTTTTTTTTTTTTTTTTTTTTTTTTGTGGCTTTCAGAGAGAGGAAAAACTCTGGTTCAGAGGAAACCCACCATGTATCCCGAATGGAAATCGACTTTTGACGCCCACATTTACGAGGGCCGGGTGATCCAGATCGTGCTGATGAAAGCAGCAGAAGAGCCCCTGTCCGAGGTGACTGTGGGTGTGTCAGTGCTGGCAGAAAGGTGCAAGAAAGGCAATGGCAAAGCAGAGTTCTGGGTAAGGAAAAAGATTAATTCCTCCAAATTGCTGACCTAGTTTTGCTTCTTTCAAGCTGAATGAATGCCTTGTGCCTTTGAGGCTTACAGATTTTCCTAGGTCAGTAGAATCTCTCTAGTTTGTATTCACCTGTTACACTTGGGGCTTTTTTTTCACACCTTGATTTCTAAGACAAGAGCAATTATTCAGAAGAGTAAAAGCTAATAGTAATCAGTTTTAGCCAGTTCAGTGGTCTCAAATCCTCTGCTTATTACCCATGGAGCAGGTACCACATTGACATCCTCAGTGTTAAACTTCCTCTGTACAACCATGACTTGGACAGAGCATCATGGCCAGCAAAGAGACCACTTAGCATAGCCTGTAAGGTTATTTTTGTGCGTGGGGAGACAGCCTGGCATTAATAGCTGTAACTGAGGTCTTGGCCTGCTGCAAACTTTGCTGGGCAAATGTTCTGAGTGTCAGACCCTGCCTTAGAGATGAACTCCCTCATTATCCCAGTAGGATGATGGGATTTCTGGGGATATGTTCCTGGGTGTATCTAATGTAACTGTGGTTTGGTTTTGTCTGGGGACTGGATTTTTCATCCCAAGTTGTATTTAGGGTAACCCAGGGGTACTTTGCTCTGTGCTGAAGTGAAGATTGAGTCACTCTTACGTGGTTAAGGGTTTCTTATCTTTTATGAAGGCAGCAGTTTAAGAATTAGTGGCTGCATTTTGAGCACAGGAACTGACCTCAGCTGTTGGCTTAAAAGGCACTTATTTTTTTTGCTGGTCTGGAGGATTTGCCACAGAAACCATGTGTAATGGTTTTGAGGAGGAAAGGAAAATAAATTTTGATTATACCACTTTATTTCATTGCCAGCAACAGCATTTGATATCACTATGGTTTGTACTCTCAATAAACATATAAAGGATTGTATAGACCTCTTTTAAAACTGGGTTCCTGTGCAGATTGAGTTTACTAACAGTAAAAACAGAAGCCAGCAAACTCTTTGCAGAACGGGAAAGGGCTGTGGACAAACAATGTGAACTCTGACCGTGCTGAACTCCTGGGGACACATCAAAGCCATGCAGCACACGAGGAAAAGCAGGAGAATAAAAGCCCCTGACTCAGCTGCCACAGAGAGATATGGAAGAGGATTGTAATCAAATAGTTATTGCATAGTCTACTTTGATACCCTAGAAAGAGCTGTTTAGATTCCTGAGAGATGCAGTCAGCCACACACTTCACTGTTGCTATCTTTCTTTCCACAGCTTGACCTTCAGCCTCAGGGGAAGGTGCTGATGGCTGTGCAGTATTTTTTGGAAGATGCAGGTATTGTCAATAGTTTCTTTTCAGTCAGTTATGTGAAAAAGATGGTTGTTTTTGTGCAGAGCACAGAATGATGTAGCTTACAAAAAAAATCACCTGAGTAAAATCTTATTAATTAATTTTATTAATTTGCTTTCCAGGTGTTTATTTGGATAGGGGGTTTTTTTGGTTGTTTGGTTGGTTGGGTTTTTTTGTGGTTTTTTTTTTTTTTTTGTTGTTGTTGTTGTTGTTTTGGGTTTTTTTGGGTTTTTTTTGTTTGGTTTTTTTTTTTTTTGGTTTTTTTGTTATTTGCACTCATGGCAGGATTNTTTTTTTTTTTTTGTTGTTGTTGTTGTTTTTTTGTTTTGTTTTTTTGGTGGTTTTTTTGTTATTTGCACTCATGGCAGGATTTGTTCATTTCTAAATGCTGTTGCATTTAGGCACTTTTGCATCTTTAATGTGTCTATTCTCATGTTTTGATGTGATGGAAAATATACTATGTGTTCCTTTTTAGGCGCAAAGAAGTTGAATCTCTTACTCTAGTTCATGTGGGAATTTTTTTTTGTGGATTGGACAGTGGGTCTGATTTTCCTGGGATTCAGACATCCTATTCACTAATTAGAGAAACTGATTGTAGGAATGAGTGAATAGTTTAGTATTAAAATGCAAATCTAGTCAATGATCTGATGTACCAGTTTAAAAGTGAACAACCTGTCTGTTTCAGAAACCTGCACAGGCTCCTTGGAAATGAACTAGGAGGGAAACTTCAAGTACACTAATAAACCCAAGAATTTTGGTGTGGATTTCTGTATCTGGGGAGTCCCTTCCTAAAGGAAATGCTGTAAACCTCACAACTTGCTCAGCTTGTAATTAAGACTTTCCCATCCTCGAAGCCGTGAAACCATTATTTCTTGGGAATAATATAATTGTAATATCACTGGTCTGCCAGATTAGCCTACCAGTCTTATAAGGTTTAATAGTATGTGTTAATAAAGAACTGAAAAGACTAAGGAGGACATTTTGAAGCATGGGTGGGTTTTTTTCCCCCCACAGACACTTATATTCACAGTTCTGCTCTCCAGACAAGTTCATTGAGAAGGTACCATACATTTTTGTGCATTCTGTGCAGAAGATACTGAAGATAGAATGTGATGTGGATAGGTTACATTTCAGAGGTGATGTTTTATCTTTGTGATGGCAACAAAACCCAGCCTATGTGCTTGTGGCTCTGGTGTCTAAGGAAAGTCAACACTTTAAAGCAAAATTTTAAAAAAATACTAGGATTTTAAAGAGTCTGTAAATAGGGGATTTTCTCAGGTTTGCATTTAAACTGGTATGAGCCATTATATTAGGAAATATTTATCTTGGTCTTTGTCATAGGTCTGTGCAAGGCTGTTTCATGGGGCAGTGGTACTCTGATCATACATATTTATTGCAATATACAGAAATCCATTTCTCCTGGACACCCAGAAGTTTCTGTTTTTTCACTTGCTTATTTAATGAGGCTGAAACATATTTCCTCCTTTCCACACAGACATGTAGAAAAGTAGAGATGGCATAAGTGAAAACCTTCCATAATTTATTATTAGCTATTAGTAGGAAGGTAATATAATTGTGTTCTGAAAGTACTATATTAATTTTACTCAGTAATCAAAATAATTTAAAAATAGATACAATGTTCTTGCAGTTCTTTTTATTGCCTTTATTAGGGATTGCAGATGGTGGTAGATGAAGCCTAAATACCAAACAGATCATTAAGTCATGCATTTATATTCAAATTGGCAAGTTAATAGTCACATCTTAATGCACTTTTTTGACCACTAACATTTGCAATGAGTTCCTATTTACCCTCTGCTTCATATGAAATTAGTCACCAATACATTTTTGGTAAGTAAACCACAGAGGTTGCCTTTCAAGACTTTTATACATCTACATTTTGTGAAGGAAAGTCACTCAATCTGATACTTTAATGTGAACACTGCAAATATCAATATATTTTAACAAACTACTCCTCCTCAAGGTTGTAAACCTCTCTTATGTCAGTGTGTAATGCTGCTAAATAGGCAAACGCTGATTTTTGGCTCATCATTGCCCTGCTGTAAATGTTCTCTCCAGTTAAATCAGCACTTAGCAGTGTGAGAGCAGAGAGGTTTGCTGGTGCAGTGTGAGGGTGTTTGTGCCAAGCTCTGTTCCCCACCCTGCTGAACCCTCAGGGACAGCTCCCATTCCTTCCTGTGCACTCGTCCCCTTGCTCTCCCTCTGGCCTGCCTTTGCATTCTGAGCTCTGGGGTAGCTGTGTTTCTAAAATACTAAAAAAGGCTTGTTCTGAAACTGGTATTTCAGCTGTTCCCTGGTTTATTCAAAGTATTCCCTGGTTTATCCTATTGCTGCCATTTGTATCTTTGAATTATAGGTGCTACCTTTTGTTTGAAAAGCTCCAAGCATTTCAGAAAAGTGACTAATTCTTTCTTTGGCTTGTTGTGCAAACTGAAGCTGCTGTTTTTCAAACCTTTCTTCTTAGTAGCAAACATTCTGCTACCTTTAGGGAAAACTGCTTTCCTCTGCTGCAGGGGTGCAGAGCAGAGAAATAAGAATGTTACTGCTCCATTAACAGGTATATTCTTAGAGCAAAAAAATCACAGAATAAGCTGGCATTAATGGTTCTTCCATGGTAGACTACACTGAGACTTTTCATTTGAATATTCTTTTTCCAGATTGAGTCCTGACCAGTTAATTTAGGGCTGCATATGAAAAGTTGTACCAATCTTAATGTTTTTTTCTTCCTAGACCCTATAAAGTGGGGATTGCAGAGCCCTGACTTAGAGTTGTCAAAAAACATTTTGTCTTCTGTCCTGTGATTTGAACATGAGTTTGTGCTGAAACTCAAAAGCTTTTCTCCTGGTGTGTGAAATGCGAGAACAGGGTGTTAACCTCAATTTTAATTTTGAAATTGCTTTCCTTCTACCCCTCCTTCTCTCGTTGTAGTATTGAAACTAGGTTATAATTCTGTAAAGCAGCTTTAGTTTTAATAGGTGGGAGTTGAAATAAGTTTAATGCTTTGCTTGGTCTTTGTTTATTCAAATGTGGTTAATGACCTCCTGGAGTAAGAAAACGCAGAACCTCACTCTCCTGAGTGTCTTGTGCAGTGTTAGCAGCTGTAGGAGTGTGCTTGTGCCTTGGGTTTGAATCCTGAATTGCTGTTTTGCTGGCTACAGCTTCCTGCAGAAAGGGGCAGTTAATTTTTTCTTTAAAATGCCATTAGAAGTGCCAGAAGGTGAGTAATTTGCATACAAACTTTTGATATCTCAATTCTCTGAATTCTGGGAGAGAGAACCAGAATGAACCAGAGAGCTGCATATATTTTGAATGTGTTGTTCTGTGTGTTGAGTGTTAGGGAAGCATGAGACTTCAGCATTTTTCTGAGTTATCTGTGAAAAAACAATAGGGTATATAACAGATTTGCCATTTCAGTCTGGAAATTGTATGGGCCTATAGTAAGGTTTAAAGAAACTATCTCGAAGTATGAGGTGTGTTGTGGAAGGATGGTCACATTTTTAATAAATAACAGGGATGAGGGCTGAGGACCCAGAACTGAACCTTGTAATTGTACATGGGGATGTTGATATGATTTAATCATTTAACTGAGAAAATGCTGTTTCTAGAATTTTGGCAAATGTGGAGGTTATTCAGTGGCACCTCCCATCTCTAATCTGCAGCAGAAATGCAGTTGCATGAATTGAACAAAAACATCTGCAGGTTTTATTTTCTGATTTTTCTTTAGGAGAATCAGACAGTTGCAGGTGTGGTGATTTCATAGCTAGCAGGTTGGTGTGTCTGTGGTTCCTAAGATAGCTAACATGTTGTGTGGAGCACAGCAAATCTGATATAATTTGCACTTTCAGTAGAAGTTTGAGATGCTTGAGATCTGTGTCAGATCTGTATCTTTAGATCTGTATCTGTTATTGAGGTGCTGTATCTGTTGGTTTTGCTGTGTAATTTGAAAAAGAGAAAAGACTCATTTTCCAGTTTATTCCTGATTTTATTGCCATAAATGAGGTACCAGAGGTCTCTGCAGAAGCATTTAGCAAAACACTGAGCTGTACAACAAGAGTTCTGTGCACTGAGCATGGGCTGCGTTCACAGTGCAGCTCTGGGTGGGTGGGAGCACTACAAAGGCTGGAGTGTCTTTGGTTTCGGGGGTTTTTAAACCTGGATTGAAAAGCAGGGCTTGTTAAAGCTGGTGCTTTGTTTTACACTTCTCTACCAGGCCATTGGTGCCAGTAATGCCTAGGAGAGGTCACACACACACACACACACACACACACACACACACTGGCCATGGCAGGACTTCATCCTGGATTTGTCCAAGGCCAGGCTGGATGGGGCTCTGAGCACCCTGGTCTGGTGCAAGGTATCCCTGCCTGTGGGACATTGCAAATAAATGCTGCAACCCAAACCTGTGATCGTCTGAAGAGGGGTAGCACAAAGACCAGAATGATTTAACATTGCAAGTTCATGTCACAGAACTGTAGGCTTTGGGAAACTTCTACTTCTGTAAATGGTTTCTTGAGGTTTTTAACATTTTAATCATTATTAACTGATGATCTTTAAAGCAGTTTTCTCCAGGACCAGGTTAAAGAGCAGTTTGCCTCTGAGACAGTCCATGCTGGGAAAGTCTCCTTTCAGGAAAAAGTTTTCCATTTTAATGATTGCTCTGAGAGATTAATATTTTTCTTGACCTGAAGGTGCACTTAACTTTCAAACAAAGCCAAGTGCAAGGCTGCAGAACAGCAGAAGGAGACAGACACTGAACAGAAATGTTAGTGGGGTTTGTAATTAATTATAAAGTTTCAGACAAATCTCAGCCTGAGCAACCAGCTCAGAAAATTCCTTTCCTGTCCCTGTTTGAAGTCCTGGTTCCCAGACTCTGACAGTAGCACTGTTCTCTTTTCTCTCCACAAACAGCACCATGAAATGAGCAGGTTAAAATGCAAAATGAACTCTGAAGAGGGTAAATATTTTTTTCAATTCTTTTTATAAGAAAACTACTAGGGTTAACCTGAGGTTGTTTTCCTTTGTTGTTGGACTTTTGAGGTTCATTTGAGACAGTGTGACATCTCACCTTGAGGTTCATTACAGCTCAGCAGAGTCCCAGCAGTACTATTGAGGTAAATGTTTTCCAGCCATGGGTTGGGTGTTGTGCTGGTGCCTTGGGCACCGGGAAATGTTCAGCAGGACAGGCCCTGCAGCTGAGCAGAGAATCAGGGGGGTTCACAGCAGCCTGGGGGGCTGCACTGCCAATTCCCAGCCCTGCTTCGTGGTTTCTTCAGGAATGTTCAGCACAGAGGAGTTCTGGGTGTTTGTGTCAGATCAGCTGCAAGTTTTGAGAAGGCACCTTGAAATACATGAACATGTCAATGATAAATATTAACCACAGCTCTCAGCAGAGGAAATAGATTATGTTTAATGGTGTGTGCTGGGTCCAAAATGATTAATGTCAACTCCAGGCTGCAGAGGTTACCTGGACCCTAGCTGCTGATTCAGCTGTTCTGTACCTGCTCTTTCTGACCATGTGCTGTTCATGACAAGCATTTCATTTATGGAAATCCTGGCTTGCTTGGAGAGGGAAGCAAAGTTTTTCCCTTTGTGTTTCTCCATCTCCATCATCTCCACCCTGCATACATACAGTTGTGGTGAAAGTTACTTCCCTGCAGTTGTTGATTGTCTCTGAAATTAAACCTTTATTCTCCAGTTAACTCCATGGTTGGCTGAGCTGCTTAAAACTTTTCAGGAGCAATACACATTAGAGGCAATTTACACATTAAAAATAACTTGTTAAACATGCCCACAGTAAATTGAAATTACGCCATAATTTCAGAGCCACCTCAACTCCAGATGAACCTGACTCACAGCTGCTCTCCAAACTCTGAGCTGCTTCTGAACCAGACAGTGTTTTCAGCTATTCTTTGTTATATTAGTTGGTTTTGGCAAGACAGCTGGTTGTAAAGTCTCCGTGTTCTCACATGCAGATTTTGAGGTTTTGATGTGCTCAAGCATTCTTCCCCATTAAAGTATACTTAGGGAAAATGTGCAAAATAACAAAAAAAAAAAAAAAAGGGAGGAAAAACCCCAAAGTGATTAGTTTATATAATTACCCTCTCAAAGAAATAAGTGTCAGTCTCATGTATTTCTCTTAAGTTTGGTATCAGGGCTTCAGACAGGGAGGAAACTCTGGTGTTTCCTATAAAAACAAGTTTTGTCAGAGAATTCTGCATGCAGTATCACTAATACTAAATTGCTTCAAGTATTTCAGCGTGAGATGTTTGTTCCTCACTGAACACTTGGTTTGCTTGTTATGGACTTCAGGAAGGCTTTTGTCTGGTAATTTGCTGCATCACAGGTGATCTCCTCAGAACACTGCCATGAAGCAAAAGGCCTTTCTCTGCTTCCTTGCTGTTACTGATTAAATCTCCTTACCAAGACATCCTTTGCTGCAGCAAACAATGTGAGGTATTGCTGCCCTTGTTTCCCTTGCACCACACCGGTGTGGTTTCCCTGAAGCATTTGGGCAGCAGTGGGTGAGGTCTGTGTGTTTGCTCAGCAGGATTAAACACAGATAGCACAGTTTGCAGACTGCCACAAGCTGAAGTGCTGCAGCTGAAGAGTTTGTGTTGGGTGAATTCAGCAGCCTGTTTGAACAAGGAAAAGGAATCCTGTTCCTAGAGGGACAGGGTGGCTCAGGGATTGTCACCATGCACACTGGAAGGTCCTTTCAGGGGCTGTCAGGATGGGTTTTTCTCTGAACCAGGTGGCAAATTTCTCAGAAAAGTACATTAATAACTAGTGGCAAAACCTAGAGACCTTTTTTGAACTTTCTTTTCACTAATATGCTTAACCTTTCCTCAATACCTGAGCTGATGATGCCATTTCTTTTCTAAGACAGCACACGCTGCTGCAGCGTGGCACTGCTGGCTGTGACAGATAAATTAGTTTGGGACACTGAGAAAGTGCCACATGACAGATTGTGTTCCAGGTTCAGCACTCTGCTGGGGTAGCAGTGGTGGCAGCCAGCTAAAACAAATGACAAGAATCAAGTGCACTTAGCAGCCAGAAAACCAGAGCTCCTGGGTAACACTGTACTGAGCTCAGGCATTGCACTGAGTGTGACTTGGCAAAGGACACAAATCTGCTTCTGTCAGTGCTGAAAGCAAGGCTCCCCCTGACAGTGATAAAAGGCAGCAATGCAACGGAGCAAATTTTAAAAACTATTATATTGACAATGGGAAAAATGCTCCTCTGGCTTTTTCCTTACTCCATTGCTGTGGAAATTCCCAGCCTGCAAAGCTGTTGCCCTGAGCTTTACAGCACTTGGGACACATGAGCTATGTCCACATTTCTTCCAGGCTGGGACCCACAAGCTGCTGGCCAGAGCTGATGGAGTTAGCAGTTGATCAGCTCCTCATTGCTAGTTCAAGCCTCTATCTTTTCCTGCTGGATGGGATTGTCCCTCAACAGCTCCTTTCAATTGACAAAAATTGTGTTCTCAGGTTAAATCAGTTACCCAGTCTCTTGATATACCTGCATTGGGTTACCTCTGCTACAAGCCCCAATGACTCAAAAATGCCTAATTAAGACTAAATAGTCTGTGTCTCAGTCTTACAGCCACAAATTTGCATTTTTATAAAAGAAACTCAGAAGCTTCCTTGGAAATGAGTGAAAATAACCATAACCTCTAATGAGGACCTGTGTGAGCCAGCTGGACTTGGAGCCTCAGAATTTGTTTTTTGTTTTATTCCTTGGCCTAATGCTGCACATGATTTCTATGTGATCCAGTATTAGATGCTCCAGTAGATAGGAGCAGGTAGTATTATTGTAATACTGAATAATTTGACTCCATGGAGGCTAGAAGGGGAAAGGAATGAGAGTGGGTTAAAATGCAAAATGAACTCTGCTTTGTCATGGAAAGACAAAACATGAATGTTATGAAACAGCAAAATGGAAATGTCTAACTGAAAATCTCCTTTGTCCTTGCTCCTTAATGATCCTGGAGGCTGGAAGAAAGTCACCTTGCATTAGGATGGCCCTGTGGTCACCCAGAAGGTCCTGCAGCAGTTCATCTGAATTTCTGCTGTGGTCCTGGCTCAGGAGGGCCTGTGGAGCAGCAGCATGGAAAGGCTTCTGCTCACCTTCGTTCTAATAAAATACTTACTCATATTAAACATAAATCACAGAACACAAATCATAGATTTGTTTTTTTCAAGAAACAACAGTGGTTGTCACTTCTCTATCAAAACTGTTCTCCATCCCTGCTCTTTGCCCTCACTTCATCAGCTGAAGGCTTTTTCTGTGTGGGCAGGAGTGGGAAGAGCTTGCACAGAACACCTTGGGAAGCAGTGTGTGCTCCTGAACCACCCCTGATGGACTGAAAGTCTGCAGAATGCAGGTGTAAAATTAACAGAAATATTACTCAGAAACAGTAAAACAAACTGAACATTTGGGAGAAGCAAATATTAACCTTTGTAATACCTGGAAGTATTAACAGTATGTCTTCTTGTGTCCCCCTCAGACTGCAGACAGTCAATGAGGGAAGATGAGGGGACAGTAACCATCAACAGGAGAGGAGCCATCAAGCAAGCCAAAATCCACTACATCAAAAGTCATGAGTTTATTGCCACCTTCTTTGGACAGCCTACATTTTGCTCTGTCTGCAGAGACTTTGTATGGTAAGAAAGAAAATCTAAGCTTCCCTCAGCTCCAAGGGCCAAATTACTGCAAAGTTTGCTTCAGATATACTCAGACAAAAAATGACAAATAAATTTGTGTTGGGAAATTGAAGTTATATACTCAATAAGAGCATTTTTATACCTGAAAACTGTAGTTGTCTTTCACACTGAGAAATAGAGCTTGAACATTTTGCCACTGAAATAAGAGGCAGAAACTCCATCAGCATCAGGTGGTATCTGGCCATGACCATCAGCAGCTCTGCCACAGGAGAACAAGGGGCTGGGGCTGAGAAAACAGTGGCCAGGTTTGAGATGTGGAGTGACTGATGGCAGCCTAGAGACCCACAGAGGCAGAAGTTGATCCCTTTCATAGTAAGGCTGGTTTTATCCTAAGTTAGGCTGGGAGGATTTTCCATGTGATTGAAACCTTGTTGTTTCTGGGTTTTCCTCCTAATTTGCTGGTCTATCAAATACAGGACCTTATCTTCTAAACCCTGCTTTCCTAAGACAGAGGATTCTGATTACCAGAACTTAGACCAATGTATTAATTGGTTGTTTGACATGGTGAAAATAAAATAAAAACCAGCCATCTTTTATTCCAGAAAATGTATTGATTTCCTTTTTTATAATTTGTTTTTCAGGGGACTCAACAAGCAAGGATACAAATGTAGACGTAAGTTGATTTTTAAATTTTTTTTTTAATTTCTTCTTATGCTGCTTTCCACATGAATCTGGAGATCATGAAAAAAATTTGTAAATATGCATGGCACAATGCATCATCATTATGGGTAGTAGTACAAGTTAAATATCAATTTTGCACAATAACCAAAGGAACCTATGATTCCTACCTAGATTTCAGTATCAGATTTAGACTTAGCTATTCTTCTCAGAAGTATGTAATGCTGCTGAAGACTTGCACTCATTTATGACAGCAGTTTTTTGTGAAACCTTTTCTAAAGTAAATTACAACTATTAAGGGGTTTTACAGCTGAATTGAAAATCACCTTTGACTTGGCATAGATCTGTGCATTACTCCAAGCAGGGAGGAGCTATCAAAGTGTAGAACTCAAAAGCATAATATTGTCCTTCCTTCTGTTATCAAATGCTGGAGGCATTGGTGATTTAGTTTAGAAATAAAGTTTATGGTAAAAGAAAAGGAGCAGAGCAGCCAGTTTAAAAAATATTATTATCTTGATAGCAAATGAACTTTTGGTGTCTATAGTATGATCCAAAAGGAGTGTGATTTTCACATTCTGCCATAAATGCAAATACCTCATCCCATGTATTTGTCATCTGAATGAATCCTTTTTTCTCCTTGTGCATGTCTTGAAGAATGCAATGCTGCTATTCATAAGAAATGCATTGATAAAATCATTGGGAGGTGTACTGGTACTGCAGCCAACAGCAGGGACACAATGGTAAGAGCTGAAACAATCTATTTAGAGTGTAATTATGTAATTAAACATTGCTGAACCAACAAAACCTTGCACAGAAGCTGACAGCTCCATTTGGGAGATGCCTGGCTGTGCAACCCAGGGTTCTGTCTTTGCTTAAAGCTGTGCAAAGTTCAGTAACAGGCAGTGGGCAAAGCTTCCAAGTCAGCCAAGCATGTGCAGGCTGAGTGAGGGTGGGTGCTGTGCGTGGGCAGAGGCTGTGGCAGGGGGCAGGCTGAGGTGACATGGCTGTGCCTGTGCTCAGTTCCAGAAGGAGCGCTTCAACATCGACATGCCGCACCGCTTCCGCGTCTACAACTACATGAGCCCCACCTTCTGTGACCACTGCGGCAGCCTGCTCTGGGGGCTGGTCAGGCAGGGCCTCAAGTGTGAAGGTGAGCAGGAGGAGGGAGCTGGCATTCTCTGTGCTCTTCCAGTGTTCCCCCGCTGGGACTGGTGCACACTGTGCCTTTCCTTGTGTCGTGTAGGGGGGGATTCGTCTCGTCCATATGGGGTGAAAAAGCTTTTGTGCAAAAGAGAGACAGAGGCACGGGGCTCATGGGACAGCTCAGGCAAAGCGAGCTGCTGAAGGAGTCAGGAAACACTGCAAAGGTGTAATCTTGAGCATTATCAAAATTACTGCCTTGGGAATAGCTGAAATTTGGAGACTGACTCAACGTAGCATCTCAAAGCGTTTACTGTAAATATTGCTTTTATAATTCCCCCACAAAAAGGCAGTATGATCCTCATTGTCACAGATTTTGAGAATAAAGTAATGATGATTGGAGGTTTTTTCCCTTGTGAAATGTTTTTTTAGCCTTCATTGTGTTAAAGGATAAAAACTGCAATTTTGGTAGCAATGACAGGTCCATGTCCAGTCTGGTCTTAAAAAAGGGTTTCTGAACTGCACAGAACAGCCCTGTTTGTTGTAATGTCAGCATTTTCCTGATGCTTGTATAACAATCCTTACATTTCTTTTAGAATGTGGGATGAATGTGCATCATAAATGCCAGAAGAAGGTGGCAAACTTATGTGGAATAAACCAGAAGTTGCTAGCTGAAGCCTTAAATCAAGTTAGCCAGGTAAGCTTTATTGCCTTTTCTCAGATAAGTACTTGTTTTCAGAGCATTTGAGGGTTTTCACATCATCTTTTCTGCATCACTTCTATGGGAAACTGTATTTGGAAAAGAGGTAATGCAAACAGCTTTGTCTTTTTTAATTTGACACTTATAGAGCCTAACAAAGATATCAATAGCTTGAAACTGAAATAGGGAAGGGGGTATGCCACTTAAAGAATTTTTTAAAAGCTGTGTGGCTTCCTGAAATCCAATATTGTTTTTCTGCTGTGCCAAGATTATTCAGTTCCTTTCTGTTTAATTGGCTAATCAGTGGCATCAGAATGCTGAAAATCTGTTTTTACATGCTTCAACTTTAAAATTCCACTTGAATGATAAAATTAAGTGAATAAGGGGAAATATACCAGCTAGTCTCATTTTTTATTTATCTGATATAAATATGTATACATATATATACACACACAGAGAAAACCCCTCTGGAATTATTGCTGGCCCCATAGCTTGCATTGTTCATCTCCTGCTGCAGCATGATACTTTGTGGTCAGCTTCTGCAAATAAAGATTCAGACACAAGCTCTGAAATAAAACAGGAAAATATATCACAAAAGCCAACAGTGCTTCCTGTGAGATGTGCACTCCTAAGCTTTCACAGGATATTTACTTTGAAAACAATGAGAGCTGTTGTGGCAGCTCTTTCAGGACACAGGAGCTCAATCTTTTCATTACTGAAATTTGATCTCAGGGATCTTCCATATGTAAGAGTTGTTTCCCTGTGCTAAGGACACATCCAGATATGGCTTCAGCATGTCAGTAAAACAGTGATTCCCATCTCCTCTTTCACATGAGCAGACATCCAAGGGGACATTTCCCCACAGTTCAAATCCTTTCCACTGTGCTTCAAACCATTATACCTTTAATAATTTTTCAATGAACAATGGAACATAGACTGTCCAGGAATTTCAGTGACTTATTTTCTTGCTTGAAGGAAATAAAGCAAATAGCTGATGTGAAGCTGTAAAGAAGGTGGCTAAATAGTCTGTGAACCAAATTTCTTGAGAAGAATACATACTGGGAGTTAATAATTAAAAAGAAAGGTTTATGCTGCTGTCATGTTACATTCAAAGCTATTACTCTATTTCTAAAGTAACAGTGCTAATATAATTTCAAATGTTCCCCTTCTCCCCAGAGATCTTCACGCAAGTCTGATTCTGGATCTGTAGAAAGTGTTGGTATTTATCAAGATTTTGATAAGAAGCATAAAGCTCCAGGAGGAGACTCAACAGGTGAGGAAACAGACAATGTTTCAGTACAGCCACTTACCTACCAGACAATTTAAGAAGTTATTCATCCTTACTTTGTGTTAGACTCTTTTTTTTAATAAGTGCTGTTAAAAGAAGCAGCATTTCTTTCTTTTTACCATCTCCTGGCCACATGAAAAGTTTACCCAGGACTTGTCCCTTATGTTTAGGCTCACCAGTAATTCCAGCAGCAGAGGCATTGCAATGCTGTGTCAGTACCTCATTTGTAGCCAGGGCTCTGAGTCCTGCAGGGTTCCTGCATCCCCTGAACTCTGCCCTCCCTGTTTTTCTCAGCAGATAACAGCGAGTATGACAAGCTCTGGGAGGTAAACTCAACCAAGCCAGTGCCAAGAACTGCAAGGAGAAAATTCAACATAGACAGCTTTGTCTTCCACAAAGTGCTGGGGAAAGGAAGCTTTGGAAAGGTATGTGACAAACTGAGTTCAGGTGTCTGCCTGACTTGATCTCTGCAATGTGATGGGCTCCTTCCTTCAACCAGAAAAGTCTCACAGCTTCTTGGGTCAGTAATCTTCTAACAGAATTGTATGTAGACATCTTTGTCAAAGACACTGGAAATTCATCAGCTGGATCTTGTGTGAACCCCAAAGTGATTACAGGGCACAGCAGTTTGTCAGGTTTTAGCATAGAGGCAGAGGAATTGCCCTTTAATGTACATATCCAGTGCAAATGGAGATTTTATCTCTGTTCCCTGCACACAGAAGCAGCCTCCCCATGGCCCAGTGCAGTGGCAGGGGATGTTTGGGAGGGCAGAGTGACCTCCACAGGCTCTGTCCACTGCTGTCTCTGAATCTGCAGCTCCAGTGACAGACCAGGCTTTACCTGGCTGCTCTTTATGCACTCACAAGGGATTGACAGAAAAACTGCCTGTGGCTCATGGTCCTTGAGCTCCATCTCCTCATCTGTGCCCAGCAGCTTCACCTTCCCAAACCTCCCTCATCTTTCCCATTTAAATGTGTCCTTTAATTGCCAGTGCACCACCTTTGGCTTTCCCTCACTGATACATCAGCACAGTCTTTCCTGCACGTGCTGTACTCTCATCTTTCATTTTTTGTAGGTTCTGCTTGCAGAGCTGAAAGGGAAGAATGAATTCTTTGCTATCAAAGCTCTGAAAAAGGATGTGGTGCTAATTGATGATGATGTGGAATGTACCATGGTGGAAAAGAGGGTCCTTGCTCTTGCCTGGGAAAATCCATTTCTCACACATCTTTACAGCACGTTTCAGACAAAGGTAAGAAAAATTTAAATGGTGACAGCAACACAACAGATTGAGCCTTTAATGGATGCTGATACCAGCAGTCAAATGAAAGTAATTCAGTGATGCAAGAATTAAATGTCCTTTTCCTGTGCTCTGTGCAAATCATGGGCCTAGTGGAAAGTAAATATGAGCATGACCAAACATACCTTGATAAGGACAGAGTAAGCTCAGAAAAACATCTATGCAGTCTGGAATAAGGAGTTTAATTAAGTCCTTAATCTGAGTTTTACCCTCGGTGAGGGCAAAAGGATGATTATCACAGACTGAAATCAGTAAGTCTGTTACAGTGTGTGTTAAGTCTAGAAACCCACAGAATACAGGATCAGATATTTATATTTACAAGACCAGGCCACTCAACTCTGTAGGAGCCTCACAGGGGTGCATGAAACCAAAAATCCTTCAGGAGAAGAGGGAGGTGGCAGCTTGGTCCCCTGGAGGCACATTGCTACTTCATTTATGGTTGGATGGCATCAGTAACTGTTCCATTTCCTGGTTATCTGCTAAAGGATCACTTGTTCTTCATCATGGAGTTCCTGAATGGGGGAGACCTGATGTTCCACATCCAGGACAAGGGGCGCTTCGACCTCTACAGAGCCACGTGAGTGCTCAGCCCTTCACTCCCCACCTCCAGGCATGAGCTCATCTCTGGGTTTATGGCCTCTGGTTCTGTGCCCCTCCTCACCTGCAGTCACATTGCAGTGGCTGATGGTTGAAAATATGTTTCTAGGCACTGGCTGAATACAATGAAGTTCACTCAATGATGTGTGGAGTTGGGCTTCCTGAATTTACATAACTGTGATGTTGTACTTTATGGGCTGCTTGTTCCTGGAGGTGCAAAATAAATTGCAACGTGAGACAGCACTGAAAAGCAAAGGGCACAGCTTCAGTGTACTTTAGGACAGTATTCTGATTTAAAAAAAAAGGAAAACAGCATGGGGGGGAAAGATTCAGCTCTTTACTGCTGTTGCTAAATTAGCACGATAGTACAAAAACCTGTACATTCCATGAGATGCTAAGCACTTAGTTTAGTAAGTGCACTTGTGACAGTTATCTGTAACTTATAGTTTTCAGCTCCAGTGATGTTTAAAGGATGCAAAAATATTCTGTTATTGTTACTTTACCTATGGTTTTTTGTTTGAGGTCAGCTTCTACTACTCTCATCCAAACCATGGGTGTTGTAATGGCATCATTGAAGGGGTGGCATGTAAACCTTGAAAAGTAACTGGAGAGTACTGGACCTGTCTGTAAGCCCCAGGAAAATTACTTAAATCACTTCTGTTACTGGCAATGCACTAAGGGTTGCTGACTGGATGGGATCACAAGAATTCTGGCATCAACAGCAGCCAGTTGTACAGCTCAGCTCCCTTCCCACTCTCCCCAGCAAAAATGTGGATAAGGCCTCTCCATCTTACCTGGATCCCAGCAAACATCTGTGCATCTGGCATACTCTCTGGGTATATTCTGTGCTATTTGTTTTGGACCAACATTCATCTGCTATACAGAAATTAGAACAGTTTTTTATTTTTCCAAATTGAAAAAAAAAATGCTTTTTGGGGCAGAGGGAAGCATTCTTTCAGATTTTCCTTCATGTCCTCTAGATTATCACCTCTTTCTTTTGAGCAGAGTGCCCCTGAAGTGATGGCATTTTTCAGGCAGGTGCAGAGGGAGGGGTGAGGCCCAATTCCACCCTTGCCATTGGTGCCCAGTCCCTCCTGCAGCAATCCTGGGGGCTGAGCTCCCATAGCTCCTTTCAAAGGCACGTGCCTTTCCCTAAAGCCATACAGAGACTGTTTCTGAGGAGGAGGCCAGGGATGGAGTTCCCTGAGGGAAGTGGGATGAAGCTGCCGTGTCCCCTCTGCTGTTTGGTGTGGGACACTGCCGATGTGTGGTGAAGGGATTACCTTGCAGGTTGCAGCATCTGCCTGCACAAACACACACACATTGGGATTTACAGATATGTACAGTGCTTCTCACTCCATGAAAAGATGCCCACAGCATTATTTTGGCTGTCTACAGCATTGGCTGTTGTAACTGAGTGAAGATTAAAAGATGTTTTTGGTCTTTTCAGGTTTTATGCAGCTGAAATTTTATGTGGGCTCCAGTTTCTTCACAGCAAAGGCATTATTTACAGGTGAGTACCAGCCAGCTCCAGGCTGGGACCTGGGAATTGCCTTAGCACTTCATGCATCTGTGAATTCCTGACTGATGTAACAAACACAAGCTGTCTGTCAGAGATCTGATATAGCTCCAAGGCCATTAACATGCCTGAGATGAATCTTTATTTGTGTGGTTTTTTCCTTGGCAACTGGAACGATGGAATGGGATTTGTGTTACACAAAAGCAGTTTTGTTTCAGTTATTTTCAAACTCTGCCTTCAAATCATGAGTCTACTTAGTGTGGAGGTGAGGGAGAGGCTCCTTGAGCAAACCACAGAGGTGAAAGTTCTCTGCTTTTGCCTTCTGGTGGAACCACAGCATCGATGCCTCTGCCTCAGCAGGTTGAAGCATCAAGGGCCAGACCCTGATCCACTGCTGGTACTGGGAACTTGAGTTACCCAGGAGAAAAGACTGCTCTGTTCTTATGTGAAATTCTCTGCTCTGTTTCAGCCCTTGGTAAGCACAGGGCTGTTCAGTTTCTCCTCAGCCTGCCCTCCTTGGTATGTGCATTTGCAGCCAGATGGACAAAAAATGCAGCATGGTCAAAGGGAGGGAATGTAGCTTTTGGAAACTGCTGGGAAAAAAGCTCTTTCTTGGTTGAATATTGTTGTTCTGAGAAAAGACATGAATAGGACCCTTCACAGGCCATCCCACAACACATGAAATTGTGCTGTAACCAGGAACAGGTCACAGGTAGTGCTAAGAGTTGGGCAGGTTTCAAACAATCAAATTCCTGCCAAAGGCTCTCAGAATCCAGCACAATCCTCCTTTTGAGCCCTGGAGCTGGTGCAGCACTGCAGTGTCAGCTGCTGGGGCATTAACTCACGCTGCCTTCCAGCAGCAACAGAAGCTCTGGCTGTGCTTCTGCGTCTGAAAGCAAATGTGGAGGATTATAAGGTCACATTCTGTACATGCACCTCAGCCTCTTCTTTGCTTTGACAAGAGAGAATTCTTCCCTTGTCCCTCATGCCTTCAAAGCACAAAAGTACCATTTTGGATGGATTGTGTTGATGGATGATTATTTTTCTTGAAAAGCCTTTGTGTGTTTATCAGTGAACAAACTGTGTCCATCTGATTACAAAAACGACTTAAAGCACAACCTTTTAAAAACACTTTTTGCAGAGACCTAAAACTGGACAATGTGATGCTTGATAAAGAAGGCCACATCAAAATAGCTGATTTTGGAATGTGCAAAGAAAACGTCTTTGGAGACAACAAGGCGAGCACTTTCTGTGGGACCCCCGACTACATCGCTCCCGAGGTCAGTATGGCACAGACACTGCTGGCATGGGCTGAGTGCCCTGATGGCACACAGCTGCTGTGATTCATCACCTGCTTGTAGGCTAATTGTTCAGAAAGTCTAATTAGAGGTAAAAATCAGAGAAAAAAATGGTATCTGTGCTTTTTATAGAAGACACTTCAGATTTTAAAATATTCTGTATATATAAGTTTAAAAAAATGTGGGTTTAGAAAGTTAAAATGCTCAGGTTTTTAAAAACTGGGGGTTAGGTGTAGCAAGCACATCCATGAAGCTCCTGCAGAATGAATCTGTATGGGCACTGCAGATGGAGAAGAGACTTGTGCCTGTGCAAACAACCAGAATTCAGAACAAAAGGAGCTTTTAAGGGGAATCTCACAGAGTTTAATTCTGTGCATTAGTTTGTTGGGGTTTTTTAAATCTTATTTGCAAAGCAGCTCAATGAAAGTATCTAGCTTTTAAAGCTATAAATTATATCAAAGACTTCTGTAGGAATCTCCTTTGCATCATTACTTGTTTCTTCCTTCACCTTGTAAAGAAACTAGAGAGGCTGTTTTTAAGTCTATGGTTATTTAAAGGAGAAAATTTCTGAATGAGAGCAAAGCTCTGTCCATGGAGCTGGCCACATTCCCACAAACAGCAGCCTGGAGTAAAACCACAGCTCTGCATCAGTGTCCACAACTTCCCAGAGAGATGGATTTTTATTTTTCCCCTAAGTGCTCTAGTCATTAAAGTTCTCTCTTGAAATACCTCTCCTGATTTTTGTATGTATTTCTGCTTCTTGCCTCTTACCTGAATCCCTCCTGTGCGCCCCAGATCCTGCAGGGTTTGCGGTACACGTTCTCTGTGGACTGGTGGTCCTTTGGGGTGCTGCTCTATGAGATGCTCATTGGCCAGTCCCCTTTCCATGGGGATGATGAAGATGAACTATTTGAGTCCATCCGAGTGGACACCCCTCACTACCCACGCTGGATCACCAAGGAATCAAAGGATATCTTGGAGAAGGTAGGGCTGATGGTCCCTGGGGTGCTGGTACTGTGCAGGGACAGACAGATCTCCTCACCAAGGAGCTGTTTGTCAGCAAATTGCTCTGACAAAGAGAAAGCCAGGTCAGATTAATTCCCAATGCTCTGTTTGCTGTCAGCACCCCGAGTTGTTTTAGCACCAAACCTGTAACTCCTGCACTGCCATGCACCTTTGGAGCAGCTCTTTACTGGGTGTTCTTCTCCTGCAGCTCTTTGAAAGGGATCCAGCAAAGCGACTTGGGGTCACTGGGAATATCAGAGACCATCCTTTCTTCAAAACAATCAACTGGACAGCTCTAGAGAAGAGGGAGGTGGACCCTCCCTTCAGGCCAAAAGTGGTAAGTGGGTTGTTCTTTGTTCTTAATAAACAGCAGCCATAAGGTAAGGGGCGAATTCTGTGCCTGCACAAAGGATCCCACTGCCATCTTCTCCTCACAGTTTACAAATGAAAAAGTTGTGTGTCTGTAAGCTCATTGTTCTTGGGTGATTCAGTTATACACAGGTGCACTGTACTCCTCTGACTGCCCTGAGATCTTCCTGTTAAGATCTTCCCATTGCTCTGAAGGAACTTGTGGATAAAATGTTCCTGAGAACCAACAGATACCTTTGATCTCCATTTCCCTCTGTGTTAGAATGTTCACAGTTCCTCACAGTTTGCTTTTCTGAAATGCCACATGGGATGAGCAGCAGTAGCTCCAGGCTGCTCAGCTGGTACCTGCTGCAGGCCCTGTGTGCAAGCATTAAATCTCTGCTGCCTCAAACTCTCTCCAAGGGGGCAGGAAGCAGCATTCTCTAAGCTGCTGAACTTGGTATTCATGTGCATGCCTGATGGTATTTGAAAAAAACACCTGCAGAACAGACTGTGATTCAGTCTGTATCACAGTGGGACGCTGCTCTTTCAGTTCATGTGCTTAAAATCCCAAACCAGTGTTGCTCCAGCTGTTCCTAGAACAGATGAAATGGTGTGGAGGCAACAGTGTCTTTAAAATATACTCTATGGAGGAGAGCTGCCCCTTCAAACACACAAGGTTTTGTGTTGCTTGTTCCCAGAGAAGTGGGAAGTCTTTGGTGGTGGAGAGTGTAAAACAGTTTCTAGTTACGTGAATATTTATTGAACACAAAACAGCTGCTGTAGGGCATTGCTTTATTCTCTGAACAAGTACAGCCTGTAAAATGTTCTCAGGCATTTAAACGTTTTGGTTAATGGCAAGAAATGTTGGTCTGATGTGTAAGTTAATGCTGCATTGCTTTTGTCAACAGATAATCTTTGGGTAATAACCCAGTGTTATCCCAAATCCAGGTTTCGTTTCTTCTCCAAAGCAACCTGGGTTTGGTTTTTCTGTTGGTTTCCAGCTAACAATAAGAAATATAATCTTATAGTCTTGCTAAAGTAGGTTAAAATTAGATTTTTTTCTCTAAAGCAGGGGAAGAAGGGAGGGAGCTAAAATACTTACTTCACAACATTTTGCATTTAAGTAATTTGTTCTTGAAGAAAATACAAAGTTTGTCTCACACTGTTCCCTCTCTAATACAGAAATCAGCAAGTGACTACAACAACTTTGACAGGGAATTTCTGAGTGAGAAGCCAAAACTGTCCTACAGTGACAAAAACCTGATTGAGTCCATGGATCAGTCTGCATTTGATGGATTTTCTTTTATTAACCCAAAATTTGAACAGATCTTGAACAAGTAAGTCTGTGAACAGCTGGACTTTAAAGCAGGGTTACAAACCCACACTCCCAAGTGTTAATGCATTCCAACAACGTCGATACTTCAGAATAATACACCCTAGTGTGATGAATTATGTTCAACTCCTGATTTATTGGCAGTGTTTTTATGCATGGTTGGGTTTAAGGTATGTGAATCATGTGCATTATTTTCTCTATTTGGGAAAATGTAAATTCTGTTTGGTACTTGAATGTAGTTATATATATATATGTGTGTGCTGTATATTTTGCTCGAGAGAAGACATTGGGGAACAGAAGATGTCTTTTTAAAATGTGTTTGAGCCCTTGGTTCTTTTATTTGTCTTCAATTAAAAGAAAGTTTAATGTGACTTTCACCTATGGCTCTGATTTTTAACAATATACACTTTAACTCCAGTGGTCTTTAAAGTACAGTGAAAAAATGCTTGGTCAGCCCTGATTGCTTTCTTAAAATATTTGTTGTTTTTGTGAATTAAACAAAAGAAAGTGTCAGGAGAAAGCAGAGATTCCTAGTCTAACACCAGCTGCTGTGGGAAACAGCTCAGGGGTGCTTTTGATGAATAAATGCTACATATTTATTCAGTAAATACACATATTTATTCCGAGGCAATCCAAGCCTTGAGACAAAGAGGCCTCAGCATCCCAGAGCAGCCCCATCCTGCCTGGGAATGTGGGTTCTGCCCCTAAATGCCACTCCCTGCAAACAGCCACAGCAGTCACAGCAGGACAGAACCCAGGTAATGACTGCAGAGTTACTTGCTGCTCTGCCTGAGGAATTATTCTGTTTAACTCCCAAACAAAATACTTCTTCAGTTTTATTTGCTTGTTTGTAACACAGCAGCTGTGGCTCCTCCTGCTTGCTGTTAGAAGGGCACAAAACCAGATCCTGCTGCCTTGCAACATCAACTTCTGAATTTTGATTTTTAGCCATTAGAGAGAAAGAAAACCTAATGTAATGACTGCAAAGCTCCTTCCAAAACCTTCGCCTTGCAGTCAGCTCATAAAATTCAAGACTGAAGCAAAGTTCCTTTGCTTCTCAGGAGCTTTCTGTATCTTCTAACACTATTGCAAATGACTTTTCTCAACACTGAGCAGGCAGAAAAAAATGTACATGTGTCAGTTCATCCACGAATTATGGAATGCTACAGAATTCCTAGGAGAACCCTGGAGCTTCTGGGTCGTTTCAGACTGTTAATCCTGCTGAAAGAGCAGCAGAAAGCTGTAATACTTTGTAGAGATTAAAAAAAAAAACCAATACACTGCTGCCTTTGTTCTGCTCCTAAAGAACAGCTCTAGCTTATTGTTGTAACTCAAGCAATGCCAGCATGACTGGGATGCCATCTGAGCCTGCAGCAGACTGAGGCTGGAAGGGGCAGAACACAGCTGGCATTTCCAAATGCCAGGACTGGCCTGCTTTACCGAGCCCACTCCAAGGGAACAAGCAGTGTGGGGTGCTGCAGGGAGAGCAGGAACCTGCCTTTCCCCCTTCACATAACCTACAGAGTGACTTCTGGCTTGCCATTTGTCACCAGAAAGTGATTCTGCTTTCCAAGGTGAGTGCTGTGCCCTTGCACCCGAACAGAAGGGCCTTTCTAGGTAAGGAGTTCCAAAGGTGGGTGCCAGCAGCAGTGGGCATCTGCACACAAAGAAGTTGTTATCAATTGGCAGTAGGAGTAAATATTCCTTGTGGGAACTGGCTCCCTGTACTCACCTGCTTTGCTCTGGACTAACAAGTGCCAGATCTGCTCAGGAGGCTTCACACAGCAACTCTTGCAGCTGGCCCCTGAGTGATGTACCAGGAGCGTGTCCTGCTGCCACAGCTGTGCCAGCTGCACTCACACAGGGGCACAGATCCCTTTCCTCTGCAGAGCAGCTGCTCCACCCATCCTCCAGGGCAGCCCTGTCCTGCTCAGCCCTTGCACCACTGTTACCTGTGTTATAGCACAGCCTGGGGAGCTCCTCCACCTCCTCTGCAGAGCTGCTGCAGCCCAGGGCCTCCTGTGAGCACACCTGGGTTCACTCACTCATCCATCAGCTCTGGCTCATCCTCATACTACAGGAAGTTTCAGCTTTTAAAGGATTTTGTCCAGAAAGCAGCCTAAAAGCTCTAAAACAAACACAGAAGTTACCTGCTCCCCAAACAGAAATACACAGTGGAGTTAAAGAACAATTAAAACACTCCTCCCACCTAGCAGAGAAGAGACAAGTGGTTACCACCTGGAGGGCTGCAATCAGCAGGAAAATGTGAGTACATAATTCTAAAAGCACAAAGCAGTCATTAATTTAATGCAAACGTAATGCCCTCCAGCTCCCTTCTACAAACTTGTACTGACAGGCAGCATTTGGCTGTTGGTGTTCACCTTTCCCAAAACACCAGCAGCATGTTCAAGACAAGGTAAGAACAGTGTAGGTCTGAGAGGGTGGAGCAGATGTTAATCCCAGTGACCAGGTGAAGCTAATAAAGCCTTACCTTTCTCCTCTATCACGTGCAAATCCTGGCATGCATTTAATCAGTTCCTCCAACTTCTTCCTCCATTATTGAGCTTCCTACTTCAATCATAGTTATTTGTCACAATAAAGCACCCTCGAGGTGAGTTAATATAATCCTTACATTTATATCTAAACTCCCTAAACCCAGCTTGTGGAAGCTGTGGAACCCTGCTGAGGCTCAGGAACACTCACCTGGCAATGCAGCCACTGGAAATGGACATGGAAAGAAACACACATCAGTGCACCCTGTAGCATTTGATCTTTATTACTTGGATCAAAGGTCAAATGATTACATTTGTCTGAAAGATCACAACAAAGGCCAACGATGTAAGAAAGGACAGGTTAATCCCAGTCCAGAGACTGCATCTGAGCCAGGCACACACAGGACAGAGGCAGTCAAATGGTACAAACACAGAAGGTCAGGACAAGGGTCTGCCCCTCCCCTGTCAGTGACTGTTCTGTCAGGAGTGGGGGACACACTTACAGAAGTGACAATTAACTGCAATTCTTAACTGTGTCTGCCCAGAACAGCAGTCAGGGTTCCACCCTGGGAGAACTCATCACTCCAAATCTACATTCAGCTCAAATCTACATTCATCATCTACACCTGCTCTCTCCCACCAGGGTCAGATGCAGTCACTGATTTAGAACCTTCCTACTGTAGAACCAACAACTTCATTTTTTTTTTCTCTTCAAGTATCAGCACAATAGTTTATTTACACTTCTATACAACTCTTTTTACTGAACGCCCATTGTAGTAAAACACTCATCACAGTATATCTGAAAGCAGGCTATAAAAATACCTACTGTACATAGAACATGTAGCCTCGAGGATGTTACAGCACCTCTGAGAGATCAGAGAGGTAAAACAAAGGGGGAGAGGAGACACCCCAAGCTGTGCTCACCAGCAAAGAGAACAACCCTGGGCTCAGCTCTCACTGGGGGACACAATTCTTCTGCCCACACTTCTTCAGCCAGGTCTCAGCTCACAATCTGCCAGTAAAACCCCACTTTTCTAATGCAGCCTCCTGGGATTCTTACAGATAAATCCTGACATTCTCAGTGTAAAAACTGCTCAACCACCCCTCCTGTCCCAGCAGAGGAGCGGGGGCTGCCTGGGGCACAGCCCGGCTTTCCCACACCACTGTGGGAGGGGAAACTGCTCCTTCAGTTGTGCCACAAAGGTGGCCTTGTTAACCACATCAATGAATTCACTCCTCTGAGCAGTGCCAGGCAGGCTCTCTCCTCACCCCACAACTATGGGCACACTGAATTAATAAAGGTCTGAAATGGCATTACCATAACACACACACACAAAGCTTTAGACAGCAGCGCTTGAAGCAAGTGTTCCTGGTCATTCTGCACCCTACACATTCCTCCTCTGAAACAGAACCCAGCAATGCACTATGGCTTACTTCCAGAGCTGAATATATTGCTGAATTTAGCTTATTAAAAAAAATAATCACAACAGCAGCACATTATTTTATAGACCCTGCACAAACAAAAGACAATTTAGCCCTTGCCTGCAAAACTATGTTACCAGGGCCTGGTATTTCACACAGGAATTCCGGAAAGAAAAAAAGCCAAAACAACAAAACAACCCCAGCAACTCACATGGTAAAAGCTCAATTAATTGGAGAGAATCCTTAGAAAAAACACAGTCCAACTACCAAAGAATAGTTCTCCTCATTGCAGAGCTAGAGCCAGCAGCAGTGCTGGCAGCTCGCTTCAGTTGTCTGGTAACACACATACAAAATACACTTTGATTTAGTACAGTTAAAAGGTTGTGACCTTGACAGAGACAGAAAATTCCATTTTTAGCACTGGAGTTTCACTAGGCATAAAAGAGCAACTGGGAGAAGAAAAACTGGGATGATGGAAGGTGCTTAAAAACAATACAAAAAACTCCAAGGCAGGTGTGCCTTGTTAAAATTATTTCAGAATTTACCTGGTGTTTTTGTTGCATGAGCTGTTAGAATGGTTAAACTCACCTAACCTTTCTGTACTGTTTCCTGATGTACATATTAAAACGTGGCTATAAAAGAGAAACATATACTTTTATGTTGAAATTCATTCCAAAAATTCTCTAAAAATATAAAAGACAACACTAACAAGACAAGTAGCTTTTCCAGCCCTTGACAGACTGAATCCTTTTCCCCTCCCTTCCAGAAAAGCTGCTCATCCCCTCCCATAACTGCAGCAGAAAGGACATGTCTCTCTTCATTCATTCCCCACCTGTCACTCATACTCATGCCCCCCACTGCCCTCCAAACTACAGTAGAGACCTCCTGGTCTCTGGAAAGTGTCAAAATCTTGCTAAAACAGCAGAATTTCCCAGCTTTAATGCTTTCATTCTCCAAAGGGAACATCTCCCTTGTGAATTTCAAAAAAACTTTAAGTTGTGGTTGACAAACCAAAGTTCAATTTCAAACACCGGACAATTATCAGAGCTGATGGGCTTCCCCATTAAAAGCAGCTTTGCAACATGAAGCCTCCAGTGCTCAAAATGTAGAATTTTGCCCATGTTAAATACACCATCAAAAAAACCTCTGTGTAATTCTAGGCAATCATTCACAGTAAAAACAAGAGAACTCTTAGAAAAAACACTTACAAAAAGAAAATAAAATTTAGTTAAAATCTGACAGTAAAATCAACACGGGCAATTAACCACCTTGCATTATCCACAGACAAAAACAGTAAAAACCCACTGAAACTGCACAAATTTACATAAGAAAAATCTGAACCCAACTCTGCTCTGCTCCCCACAATCTCTTCACTGATACCTTTGGAGTTATCCAGGAGCACAGGTTTTGTCCAAAGGAGCAGAATCACATTCGAAATGTCTGGAAGGGGAGGGGAGGCGCGTCCATCCCGCCCTGCTCCGACACCGCGGGGCCCTGAGCTGCTGGAGGAAGGGCTGCTGCCCCGGGAGCTGCAGCTATAGGTGGGTGGGCACTGTCCTCAAAGCTTCTTCTCTCGACCTATTCACACCTACATTCTGCAAATTTAAAGACAAAAATAAAATAAAATGTTAAAGCGAAGGTCTGACAGCAGCCGTGGTTTTGCTCAGCACGCAGCTGTTACAGGACACAAAGGTGAGCAAGTTGTAATGCTGGATCCCTCAAAATGCTCTGTAAAACACAAGGAAAGGCCCCAGCCCCTGTCAGACTCAGGCTGGACCTCATCCCAGTGCCAGGAGCTTTACAGAGCACTCAGACTCCCAAAAGCAGGAGCTCTGCTGCCAGTGAAATGCATCCCTCAGATTTGTACCACACCAGGTCTGGCAGGACAACTGGTGCCTGTACACCATATGCAGGTCTCACTGTTACAGCTTTTAAAACCTTTTTTTCCTTTAATCACTGTTTCAGCCACATTTTTCTAACCCTCTGTCTCTCCCAGTGTTTATGCATGTAGTGTAAGGAAGAACAGAACCCTGCAAAGGCCATAAACCACACAGGAATCAATAAAATCTTGAGGGAGGGAAGCCCTCCTCTCCTTGTTCCAAGAACACTCCAGGAAATAATTCCTTAACACCAACAGCAATAAAGCCAATCCTGATCCTATCAGCAAGCAGCCAAACCACTGGAAGAACTCTGAATAACTCCCTGAAGAGCTGGTAACATCAAGTGTTCCCTGAAGAGCTGGTAACATAAAGTTTAAATGCACTTTGGGATACACATGGCATGTGGCAGATGTCACACTGCCATCAGGGAATGCTCCAGCGGTTTTATTACCACATTTATTGGAGTTTACATTCAAAACAAGTCTCTCCAGTCAAGCTCTGGGGAAAGCAGAGCCCCACGAGCACACAGCAAGGGGCCCTCTCAGCACATGCAGACACACAAATCCATCAGTCAAAACTCATCCACTCAAAAAGCAATTCAATCCCCTCCCCAACCCCAGTTTCTAGATTTTTTCAGCCATTTCTTATGAAAGCAGGCTATAAACAAGCAGCACCAGATTCTCTTTGGAGGTTGAATTCTGCCAGCATTGCTCTGCCCTTACCGGTTCTGCTACATCCACACCAGCCCTTTCCTCTGTCATCAGCCTTCAAGCCCTTAGGTAAATCCCCATTTTCCACCATGAATACCACACCAAGGCTTCTGGGAACACACACACAGCAAATGCTGCTGGACAGAATTGTCCAAGTGCTGGAAATCCCTGCACCCATCAGCAGACAGCCTGAGCCACCATCACATCTCTTTGAAGGAAAGCAAAACAATAACCCTATTTCAAAAAGAAGCTTCTACAAGAAGCATCTCTTCTGCAGCCAGGGGAAAGCCTCAGAAAGCATCAGTATCTGCTAAGAACATGAGGAGTTAGCAAAACAAGTCATACTCTGCAGGGTTATAGGGAAAAAAAAAACCCAAGAAACCAACAGAATGTGCTGGAATTTGGTGTGTTTGTGTTTTTCTTAGCAACTGATGCAACATACCCAGAATTTCCCTGGGACTGCACAGAGGTCTCCACAGGCACTCCCAGAATACTGGCTGAAATCTTTTAAGCTGAACATCTGATGTTGATTCAAAGAAAATTAAATGGAGCATGAAATGCAGCATCAAAATGCAGGAATCCAGAGGTACTGGAAATTAGTCCTCAAGCAGCAAGAGCTACACAGCTCAAACATGAAGCTGAAAGGAAATGAGGTGATTAAGGCAAGGCAGAAGATGCAGCTTATTTCAGTGAATGAGAGGTATTGGATAAAAGCAGCATTCTAATAACTAAGACAGACCCAAAGGGAATATTGATAAGCCGGCAAGAAAGCTGAAAGCAAAAAAAGCTTGAATTTGAGTAAACAAACAGACTGTGGAAGCAAAGTGTGCTGAACTGTCACACTGAAGGAAGAGAACTGGGATAAACCCTGACAAACAACCCCAAGGGCTTATTAAACAAACAACAGCCAGCAGTGAGAGCAGATGAGCAGGGGCTTAGAAAGGGACCAAAATCCTCATTAACTGTAAGTGGATTCCTACTCACAGGAATCCCATTAGTTGAGATGATGGCAACTGGGATTGTACCCACACTCAGAACAGCCATGGGCCATGCAACAAGGACAGTGCTGCTGCTTAGAAAGGGGACAGAGGCGTCAGCCTTACTTTTGGGACCAGAAGGAGTTCCTGCAACTGCCCGGACCAAAGCACACCTGGACAAATGACCATGCTGGGAACAGCCCCACAGCAGCAGCAACACGATCTGGAGAGCCCAGGAAACACATGAGGAGGAATAAAAACCACACACCTGTCCCAAATCTCCCCAGCCATTCACCCTGTTCCCTGGCCAGCCCCAGCTTGCTGTTTCCAGAGCCTGCTCCCTGAGGCAGGAGCAGCCTGACCCTGCCTTGCACAAGGACAAGAGTCCATTTTACCCTTTGAAAGACTCAAGAGTACACAGATTAACTCAAATACCCTCCCACTCTCACTACGCCCTGGCCTCTGGACATTCCTGTCCTACAGGACAGAGCAGCAAAGTGCTGTGGGTCTCCAGCAGGACAGGCCCTGCTCTCAGTGTTGCTTTGACTCAGCTACAATGTGACCCTCACAGCAGAACAGGAAGATCCTGCAGAAAGGTTCCTGCAGGCAAAAGGAGGAACCTCTGGAGACAAGAGCCAGCACAGGCCTAAACACAGAAATAAAGAGCACAATACAAACATCCAGCACTGTCAGCTTCCCCTCAGCAGGCTGTGCCACGACCCACTGCTGACACCTCCCATCAGCTTTACTGACAAAGCCAGGGCTGCTAAACCATCCTGCTGAATGAGAAGATCCCTTAGAGCATTCTGCTTTTAAATATCCACTTCACTCTGTGCACACATCAGCACAGTGAGTGCTGTGCTCAGCAGACACAGCCCCAGGAAATCTGGCTGGCAGCAGCTGGCAGGAATGGAAGGTCCTGGGTGCTGCTGCTGCTTCCCTTCCCTCTGCCACCTCCACCAGCCACAGACCAGGCAAACTTTGCTTTCCTCACTGGCCAAGCTCCTGCTCCTGTCATCCTCCCCCTCAATTTTCTCTGACAGCCCAAGCCACCCTTTTTCAAGCAGCAAAACTCTTTTTTTCCACAGCAGAAGCCTGCACAGAGTTTGGCTCCATAAGAAATGCAATGCATTTGATTTAATTTGGATGGTGTTTCCTTAGCTGTGGCCTGTGGAGGTGACAGCACTCCAAGCTGTGGCTCCTGAGGAGCTGGCTATGGCCAGCACCCCTGTGATCCCTCAGGAATGTCACCTCAGCTGGCAGGTAAGAGCAACCAGGCCCGTGGTTGTGTGCAAGGGGTTCAGCAGGCTCAGCTGCTCCTCTGGGCCCTTTCACGGCAAAGCTCAGGCCCAGACCCTGGAGCAATTAAACATGGAAAAGTGACCAACCATTCCTACATCACAGTCATGGCAGCAACAGAAAAATGATCCAGGTTCTCCCAGTTTCAGCCCAGGGACAGTGGTTTCACTAAACACCAAGCACCACACCAGGAGGCTCTCTGGTCATGGCAAACATTCCCAATTGTACAAACTTCTGACGACTTCAGTACCATTTTAGAAGTGCAGATATTTAGCTTTTTTCTTCCCCAAAATCCTGGTTTGGGAAAAACATACTACCTGAGAAATCTAACAGCAAAAAACTTTCCACAACCTACAGCCCTGCTTAATTTCACTGCTTAAATACCCCCTCAGAAAACAGTTCTGAGGCTCAGTGTTTTTCTGCCTTACCCTGCCTGCTCCATGGCACAGGCACCTCCCACAGCCTTGTGGTGCCCAGGGAACACCATGGCAAAGGCACCAGGGCACCACATCTCCCACAGCCTGCAGTCTCCTCCCTCCTGCAAGAGGCTTTCCTACCATATAGTTTGGGATTCATGCCCTGCTGGGTTGAGATTTGTGTCTGCTGGAGCCACTACCCATCTACAAAAGGCTCTGGCTAACTCTGCTTCTAACTCTGTTCTGGTCAGCACTGCTTATTGGAGCCTTCATAAAATCTGGGTACACAGCAGCTCCATCACCCACATCCACACAAAGCAGGAAAAGAGGGAACTTAAAATCCCTTCTCTAGGCAAACACTAGAGCCTGGTTAATGCAGAACTGCTGTTAACAAAAGTTGTACATTAAAAACATTTATACACATTCCTGTTCTTTGAATAACTGTCCTGGAACTAAATGAAAAGTTGCTACCCTGCTCTTACAGCACATCCTTAATTAGCACATGTAGAGCCCTAGTGCTGTGGATCAGTGGGATTAGGGATTTACAGTAATTATGGGTTGTTATTTTACACCGCATGGCAGTCCAATCACTCCCAAGGGCCCTGAAACAGATAATACTGGTGCTCTGCTGGGCAAAACAAATTCTGACCTTCTTATCTCACACAGGATGTTGTGTTTCATGGCTTTCATAAATACACTGCAGCTAACACTAAATGATTGCTGGCTATTACAATAAAGCTTAATGCTGCAGGATATTTAAATGACAGCAATTTACAAAACCAGCATTCCAGTGAGGGCCGATCAAGGTCTGATAACTCATCCACAATAAATTAGCCAGTGCAACAGTTTTATTGTAATTTGATTAATTTTTTCAAATCATGTGCTGTACAGACATTTGGTTTGAATTATGAGTTTGGTTTGGGTGTGGCTATTATTTTTTTTTATTTCAAAGTGATTGGAATGATTAGCTTTTCAATTTATTTTGAAGTAGCAGGATGAAAACAGCACCCAAGTTTGATAGTTGGTCGGGACACAGGATTCAGTGATGAGCAGGGACTGTTACAAGAGCGTCCTCAGTAGGTCTGGAAATGTCTACATTCTGTATAATAATAAAAATACAGAGAATATTTATCATGCAGCAGTAAGACCAACAAAAACCACCAATCAGGTCCCTTCATAAGTACACAGCTGGGTTGATTGAGAAGCAGACATGGTTTCAGCCCCCCACACCCCAAGAATGCAGCAGACTGAGAGCTGGGTGCTGTCCCAGAATGAGACAGCACAAAAGGTATTTACAGTAAAAAAAAAAAAAAAACAAAACGCTTTTTAAATTTTCACAATCCTCTGAGGAGCAGTTAAATACAGCTCCCTTGCTAGCAGCACTACCCAAAGCTCAGGTCAGTCACATTTAGAAGGAAGTCTTTTACAGGCCCAAGCAGGAATCCACCTTTTCACATGCTTCAGCACATGCACATCTCACTGAGAAACTTGCAGTGTTTCACCGAATCTGTCACGTGCTTCTGTGCCAAGAGGAAGCTTTTAACGTGTGCTTGTGTTACAGACAATGTAACACCTCTAACAAAATAAAATATATGTTCCCAGACACCTTAACCATTCAAGGCTGATCACACCAACTAGATCTCACCTCCTTTGCAGAGGTTGCAGAGAAACAATTACATTTAGTGCAGCACTCAATTATTTAAAACCAAATGAAACCAAGACTCCAGTGCAGCCAAAGAGGAATCAAATCTGCTATGGCACCACCTCCTGCAAGTCCCAAAGCCTGTGCAATTGGTATTCTCCCTCCTCCCAAGAGAGCAGACCATGATAAACTGCTCTGAAGCTCCTTACAAGATCCATTTTAGGCCAAATCACTGCCAATTCCTCACACTTCCCACTGATGGGTTTCATTAGTCCTGCTTGTTCCACACTGTGGTCAGCCAGCTCACCTTGCACTAACACCTCCTTCCCCAGGTCCTCTCAACAAAATAAAACAGGAGGTCTGGTGTGAGTAATGCCCTCTCTGTCAGTCACTGACTAAGCCAGATGTGCAAAGCAGACATTTCACCCCAGCACTTGCTGGGTCCCTTCTTTGGGCCAGAAAACAACAGCTAAAGCAACTCCCCTGAATTATTTTCTGTAAAAGACTATAGACTCCTTTATTGGGAAAGGTCAGAACTTCAGTCAGCACAATGCTGACAAACACAAGGCTTCAGTCTGCTCCAGACAAGTCCCCACGGTACTCTGAGCTTCACACATGCCACAAACAAACAGCCCAGAGCTCTGCCTGCATTTCTGCCACGTGAAAATGGATGTTTTCAGCTGAGCCAAAAGGAGAGCACTGTTCTGGAGCACAGACTCCAAGTGACTGGTGGGTCACAGAACAGACACTGGGCAATTCTCAATCCAATAGCTTCATTGTTTAACAATGCTGTTATGTGACACTGAGTTTAATTAAATGCTCTGACTTCAATAGACTACTTGAAAACTTAATTTTACAGAAGTAATTACATGTTTTCATAGGTGATTTAAATGAAAGCTTTTGAAATTTTCACAGTCCTCTGAGCAGCAATAAAATGCAGACACAACCCCCTTAAGTCCTTCATTCAGACCCACTACCTGAACAGTGTAACATCATCCATATTCACCAGGCTGGGTTTCCTTTGGGGCAGAGGGAGAAGAGAATTTGAGGGGTTTTTTAGGAAAATGCCACTACTCCTGCTTTTTTCTTCTTATAAAATTCATTCACTCAATTCATTTGTGCTCAAATCAGTCTTGTGCCTTTGAGCCCACTGCAATGGATGTGCCTTCCTGATCCTCCAGGTGCACCTGAGCAGAGCCACCCCACAGCAGTGCCAGCACGGCCACATCACTTGTTAGTCATGTGGAGAGCCACTTGGTGATTCAGGCACAGCTTTCCCCCTTGAGATAAACCCCTTCAGTTAGAGGACTGACATTCCAGCAACATTTTAGCAAGATGTAAATTCAGCACTGATATTTTGATCATCCAAACTAAAAATGTTCATCTACATTATTGAACACAATTAACCTACTGCTCTAAGACACCCTCATGGATTTTCACTAAGCTTCTCCAGCTTTAGGTACTGTGAAAACACAGACTGGGTTTCAAATAAATCAAACTAAGATACAAAATGGCAAAGCAGAATGACAAAGCAGGAAAAGGAGGAGGAAGGAAACAATGCAATGCAGTTGTTGAAGAACAAACATCCAAAAGTCAGGGTTTTCAGAACTTGGAATACCCAGGTCATTAAAACAAAACTTATCTGCAGAAGAACTCTGGCATGAATTCTGCACAAAAGTGAACCCTTGGTTACAAAAGGCACTTTATGTCATGTGCCTTGTTGAATACACAGATAAAACCTCATTTCTCACTATATTCCTCTTCACCATCAACTGCTGCTCTGAAAGCCACCAAACACAGCCCTTTTTTCTCATGTTATCAAACTGCCTTCCAATTCACCAGTGGCACTGCTCCTGACCTCAGCACGGAATCAGTGCCATGCCTGGTGGCATGAGCCTGCAAGGGAACAGAGAGCTTGAACCAGGACACATTTCACACAACTTTGATGCTAAAGCAAAGGAAGAGCTGGGCACAAGCAGCAGAAGGAGCCTGAGCTGAGGTGGGCACTGAGGAGCACACAGAGCCTGAGGCAGGCAGGGCACAGGGCTGCCGGGGGCTGACAGCTTCTCTGCACTTACATTTCACAAACACGCTCAATTTCCTTCCCCCGGCTGTCCTGCTGTTTCCTGAGAGCTAGTCTTCCTCTTCAGCTTTGGCTTAAAACACAGGTGACATCATCAATTCCTCTTTTTCATACAGCAGTGATGAAAAAGCTGATGACTTCTCTCCCCAGACCAGGCGTGGCACTCATACCACCACTGTGGCTACACCTACTTCTGCTGAGTGACAAAGCCTGGCAGAACTTTACACAGTTTTTAGCCTGACACCACATCTGCAAATTCTCATTTCTCAAAGATAAACTATTCCAGCCAGAAGTCACAGTATTACAGAACTTAGTTTTATTCAGTCCATAAAAAATTTGCTCCCCCCTCACAGTAAAAGAGTAGCAAAGCTTCAGATGTAAAATAAAATGCACTCAGCTGAGTTATCAAATCAATTCTAGCCACAAGGACAGTGGAAATCAGCTCAGACCATACATTAAATCAAGCTCTCCAATTAGAAAAATATTCTTACCTCAGGTTTATCTCTGTGCGTGTTTACAGCTTCGACATTCAGAAATATAGATTCTACTTTACATCCTGTTGATAGAAAACACAGTTTTAGACACATCTGCTTTGAAAGTGAAGTTATAATAATGATGCAATCTAATTTTGAGATGGTGAAAGTTACTCACTTTTCCCTTTTGATTTACACCAGAATCTCCTGAATTCTGAAGAGCTAAAGCTACAGAAATTAATTCGTTCCCCATGGATTAATATTATTGTCCATCTGATAATCAATCTCCTCAGCTCAGCTTTATCATTATTTTCTTTGAAAAAAAAACTTTTTTTCTTTAACATCATGAACATTCAGTAAGAAAGTTTTTATTTGTAACTTTTTGTGTTTTAAACATCCAGGACTTCTGTACTACTAAGAAGATAAATGCTGCTCTCATTTCTTAAACATAAAAACAACTACAAGAAGGTAGAGAGTGTGTTGTCAGCAACCCCCATTCCTCTTTATGTGCATAATGGTTTAAACCCCAAGCTAAACAGAACTTCAAAGCTGACTCCCAAAAAGGAACTTCTGCTTAACATTCAAAACCTCAAAACCTCAGTGAGGCAAGAAAAATTAAAACAGTGAGAAGAAAGAACTATTTCCCAGGTAGTATAAACTGATCCACTTAGAGAATGACATAATTACTCCATACACCATGGCCACAGCACTTCAAGCCATCTCTGATTGCCAAACCCTGGCTCATCTCACACAAACATGACTTTTAGAAGCTACCACCACTCTACAGAACATCATTAACAGTCACTTCCTCTGACACACCACAGTCCATCCTCTGCCACAAGCAGGTTTCCAGATTTTTCTCCTCATTTATTCCCTAAAGTTGTATCACACTCCATGGAGTTGCTACATGACAGAAAAAGGGGATTTCCTTAGAAAGTCACTCCACTTTAAAAAAAGAGAAGAAATCAGTAAGGCCAGTATTTGCCTTCCCTTTGGGAAGCCTGTCCTTTTAAAGCCCATTTGTCAGGAAGACTGTGAGCAAACACTATGGGAACTCAGAAACAGTGAGCCATAAAACAGATTTTAAGGAGGAAAAGCACATCATCTCCCACTGGAGCAGGATCCTTACTCATCCCTCTGACCACAGATCCACTGTGAGCCCTGAGCCCAAGCCAAGCTCTGAGCCCTGCTGTGCCCATTCCCCAGGGCTGTTACACAGCAGACACCTCAGAGCCCTCTCAGGCCTTGCCACAAGTTGAGTTTAAGATCCAAAGAGAGCCTCATGTGTCGAGCTTTACACATAAACCAAAGGGACAGCCTTGCTCCACAGCAATTACCACATGCATTCTCCAGCTCATTTTTAATTTCTGATGAGCAAGTTCCTACCTACAGCAAGCTGCAGCTTCCTTTCCATAGACCACCACTGCCCTGGACTGCTGGGTAAAGGTCTCATCCACCCTGATCCATCTGTCAGGCTGTACCAGATGCTCCTCCACTGCAGGTCATTCTCTTAAGGTGGCAATGATGCTCCTCTCCACCACCAGGAAGAGAAAAGCCCCAGGGGAGGCATTTCCCCAGAGCAGGCTCAGCTGGGAGGTAGCAAACACACCAGGTCTGATCCTGCATCCTGCCTGGAGCCAAGTGCCATCAGTGCCATCAATCAGTACTGCAGAAATAATCTACACAGTCCTTGTGTTTTCAGATGGCTGAACTCCAAAAAGCAGCTTGGCTGAAATGTGCTCATCACACATACACGTCAAACCCCTTAAAAAAGGGACAATGGCATTTCTTTCCCTCCAGTCAGAAGGGCAAGGACAGTGTCTGTACCCCTTTGTTTCCTTCCTCTCTTAGTGTGCGAGCAAACACTCAAACATCCACACCCTCTTTAAATTTATGAGCAGTTACCCAACTTCCCTCCTCCTGCAAAGAAAGAAAAGCAGCAACAACCAAAAAAAAAAATCCACCAGAGAAGCCCCAAAAAAACCCAAAAGAACCCCAAAACAGAGCCTTGCTGTGGAAAACAGGCAGACTCTAGCAGGTCAGAAAAATTCAGTTTTAAAAAGCCCAAGTTTTAACTGCAGCGGATCTTTATTTTCAAAACCCCAGCTTGTCATGCAAGGCTGGGAACAGCAGATGTCACCACAGCACAGGCTGTCTGTCCTTCCTGTAAGACGAAACTGCAAGCAAATGACAAAAATCTCCTCACACAGATTTTCCAGTGCAGCAGCTACTTTGTTTCATAATATTCTTTGTTTCAACTTCATTTGAAACTTAAAAAAACACAAAGTACTGATTTGGACCGCTATTTTTCAGAGCTGATAATCAAAGACAGGCTCCAATTAATGACTGAACCAGCATTTTTGGGCAATACATTTTTCCTAATCAGTTATGCAGATAATTCTCTGCCTGAGAGGATCTTCTCAAGTGGGATATCAGCAGATACAACCCAGTCATTACTGAACGAAATGAGCAGAAGGCACACACTCAGCTGAGGTGGGAACACACACAAAACTCCATCAGCAATCAGCCTAAAGCCCAAGCAGGGCACACAGCAACCCTCACCCCACAGTGCCCAGGGAAAGCCCCTGAGCCAAGCACCAGGAACAGCTGCTGACAAACAAGGTGAGCTCATGGGGTACTCTCATAATCCATGGAAAAAAAATAGTTCAGGAAAAGAGAACAAAGTTATTTAAGGCTAAGGAAACACGTCTGGCAAGATGAAAAACCTATACAATTTTACCTGTCTTCTGCAATGCAATACCCTGCAATACATCAATAAAAACTCAGATCTTGCTGTAGCAGATGTGTAAATGCATGGGTTTGCCAGAAGAATTAGTGAAATAGAGTATGAACTGGGCACAAACTGTCCCCTCCAGCAGTGACAGCCACTGGTGGTTTCAGGCCTTCAGCAACACATGTGTGTCCTGGCACAAGGCAAAGCCAGGGTAATCCAGAGGATTCATTTATTCCAGTAAAGTTCTGGAGGCATACATGCAATGTCAAACCTGACTATTTTAAAGCAACATAAAGTGTGTTTTAAACACTCCACCACCTTTCCTGATGAGCATAGCCAGAATTACATAATAAATATACATCATTTCACTTACCATAAGCCACTGGGGTTAGCTTTAGGACGGTATGCAGTGGGCACTTCAGGTAGGGCAGTTGTTCTGAGAAATCAAACCACAAATTACACATGAAATACAGGTTACAACTGGCTCTTCTGTTATGTTTCAGGTCAGCTACTTGAATGACTTTTTACCTAACAGCATATCTCTTTTCCTAGCATGCAACAGAGATGCTAATCAGAGCAAAAAACAACTATCACAGTATTCCAGGTCAGGAGCAGCTCAACAACATCAACTACCAAGTTTCATGTGGGGGTCAAATACCAAAAAATACACTTGGGTACTTGCCTAGCAAAACCATCCTGTGATGATACAGCAAACTGTTAGAATTTACTGTGTGGAACCTTAAGCAGTAAAATTTACAAAAACCAGTCTGTTTGTAATGCATCAAGGAAGACTTACCTGCGGGCTTGTCAAGGAAATAGGCGAGCAGACAGCGCATGACAGCCTGGTGACAAATGACAAGCACATTCTCCTGCCTTTCCAGTTCCATAATTACTGGCTCCAGCCTCTGAACAAGATCTTCATAGGACTGGGTGGGGAGGAGAAACACAGAGCACATTAAAAAGGGAAAACTCTTTGAACAGTGTATATACATACAGAGGGGACCTTACTTTCATATGAGTCATCTTCTAAATGTTATTTCGTGCACAGAAATACTGCAGTAATAATTTTCATTAAACTAAGAACACAGTTCAGACCTAAGCACTCACATAACACATTTTATTATACACATAACAAAACAAATCTCCCTCATAGAAAAGCTTTATTAAATTAGCCACTTTGATCTAGAATTTCCACAAAATCCCTAGGATTTAATTCACATCTGCAAATACAAGTCTTGCATGTTATTTTCCATAGCTCATCTTCAAAAGCATTTCTCTTCCAAGCCCAAATCTAGGAAGCTCAGCCAACAATCAGTGTGCAAAGTGTTCACAAAGCTTGACTTGTTCAGGCTGCCCTTTCCAAACAAGCTGTGGGCACGTTGGACTGGCCTGGTGACAGCAGCCACCATGCCACCAAGAGCCAGCACAAGGACTTGCTGGTGACCTGTCCTGCCTGACCATGCACAGGGAGTTGCTGCTGCAGGGGAACAGCAGGGCTCCTGCATGGGCACAACTGAACTGAATTTCACATGCATGGTAAAAACTCTGCTTCCAAAATGTGCCAGGTACTTCCAAAACGTGTCATGTACCACAGGTGGAGAGCTCAGCACATTGCCCAGCAGGGCAGGGACCCAGCACAGCAGGAAAGCTTCACCCTGGTCCCCAGGCAGGACCAAGTGGCACTGCTAAGCCCTGGACAACAGAAAGCCCCCAAGAGCTGTGCAAACCCCTCTCACTGTCACCAGACACAAAACTGCCTCGGATAAACGAGACCAAGTCATCCCCACAAGGCACAGGGGGAGTTTGACATGCCAGTCACCATCCCCAGGACTGCACTGGTTTGAAAAACAAACACTCCTTGTTCAAATGCATGAGGAGCACTCTGCAGATGAATGACTGCCTCATTAGCAGGATGGGGTCACACTGCCAGGGACACTGCTCCTGTCACAGTGACTGCTCTTGAGGACGAAGGCAGAGCTCTGCTTCCTCACAGCTCAAGCAGGAGCAGCTGGGCCAATCCCTCCTCCCAGCCCACAGCCCCCAGCAATGGCCCTGTGACCATCTGGCCATCACTGCCCTGTACTAGGGCTGCTCTAGAAAAGCCATCAGCAAGTTCATCTTCCCAGAGGCAAGGAGTTTAATAACATGGCTGGAGATTTCCCCAGCATTTCAGCCAGAGCTGCCTGCAAAACAGCCACCACCAAGAGCAGGGATGAACAGAAACAGGGCATCTTAGCAGCATGTTTATATATGCAACAGTTAAAGCCCTGCAATAACTCCTCCTGCTTTATCACTGTAGGACCAGCACAGGTACAATGCCCACAAGATCAAAGCTCTCCACTGTTTTTCTAAATTTATGGGTTTATTTTTCAAGCCCTGAATCACATACGTGGTCTTTCCTTGCAACATCCTATGCGCTTTTCCAAGGAGAAAGGAACAACCTTTTCATTAATTTAAAAATTTGTTTTTCCTTCCTACAGCATGCATATATGCAAGAAGACAGGGAACCCTTTCAACTTGTGAGATTAAAAATAGCATACCTCTCCTTTAGGGTATCTGTATCTGTATTTGTCTTGGTCTCTCAGTGCAAATTCAAGAGGATAATTTTCCTGTATTTCTTCATATGTCATTTCTTCACATACTCCCTGTCAGTAATGAAAATGATTAAAAAACATGTATTCCCAGTAATGCAAAAAGCAGATATCAATCTTAATAAAACCATATACCAAATAACCTTTAGCAGTTTTAATTTGCTACTCTAACACTTAAAATTGTCACACATGATAAACAGGGCACTCAGCTTGACTCAGAGGTGGTTAGGAGGAATCATTAAATCCCTATACATGTGAAGTTACATCTAAGGACAAAGCAAGGCCATGTTTTATCTATTGCACCTCCTTTTATATCTTACAGCTGCAGCTGGAAACTGCCAGCTAGCAAACCCCCTCACCACAAACTTCTTTCCAAGCCAAACAAACCAACACTTCATAACATCATGGATTCTACAGAGGAATGTTTTACTGGGAAGGACAAGAGAAGAACAAATTAACAATGGCAAAATTCAGTGAAACATTTAACCTTGTTTAATGTTTGTTAGGTAATGACAATTACTTCCAGCCTCTTGAAGCAGCTTCAATGACTTTCCATCCCATGAAAGACATATTATTAAAAAACTAAGCACTTTTTTACCCCTAACAATCAAAGCAATTTATTAAGCATTTAAAAGATAAGAACTTACTGCATCTATCTCATTCAAAACCTTCCACTGCTCATAAGGCACTCCCAAGGCTTCAGCAGTCTGAATTGTCCGTTTCATCTGGCTGGTCCAAACTTTCAGATCTTTGATATTTTGTTCATTAATAAACTGTGACAAGCTTTTGGCAAACTGGAAGAAAAACCAAGAGACACTGGATGAGGGCTCAGAGCCAACACAGGGCGTTCACTTTAAAATACATGGGTTCCAGCCTCTGTAAGCTCACTGTAGCTTTTCCAAAAGACTGTCAAAGGTTTTGCTAAGAAATACAACCTACTCTATTATCCAACAGGGGCAGGAGAAAGAAAAGAAGTACAAGGCAAATACAAATTTTTAGCAGTTCCTAGCTTTCCTTCCACTAATTTTCCTTTCAGCTTTAAGTTGTGTACACTTTCCCAATTACCCAACTAGTCAGGATTTCACAACAATATAGTTAAAAAATAAAGCCCTCTTGCCAACTGCTTTGTGGTGTGGGATAAAAAGGAATTTTAGCCAACAGAGAGACACACAGATAAAAGAGTACAAACCACAACACACAAAGTGCTTCCACTACCCAAACATGCAACTAAAAAAGTCCTTTAAACTCATTAAGAGGAAAAGGCTGCAGAGGAGGAAAGCTGCCAGTGCCCAGCACAAACACACACAGAGCTCACAGTTCCACCTGGCTGGAGGTACATACTTCCTTCCCCCTGACAGACAGCCCAGGATCTCCTCCTATCCTGCCCTTGAGGTTGAGCTCGCTCTCCCCGTGGCGGCAGAGGTAGATTGACCGAGGAGTCACGTGGATATTCATGAGGTAGTAGACAATCCGGCTCTGGATGTGATCCATCACTCTGTTCACCAGGTAACTCCTTCCAACATCCATGATTTTAATGTAAGAAAGATCCCTTTCATGAGCAAGTTAAAAAAAAACAAAAAACACAAAAGTAAGGTTCCACATTGTTGCTATTAGCGTGTAGCACAATCTTTCCACCCTCTCTGTTATGAAACAAAGGGGAGACAAGCCAAAGAAATGAAAAAATCCTCATTCAGTCACAGAATGTGCATTAGTCCTAAGAAATAACACAGTACTCCAAAGCTACAGGACGAACTCTGTTCCTTTCACATGGAGCTGCTCACATCACTTTCTTTTCTGCCTCCTTTACTTGCACTTCATCCAAATCTAGATCCTTCTCTTGGAAAAATACAGCCCACACACTGAAAAGGAGATTCACTTAAGTTACCACAGCTAAATAAGATATACAGCTATTTTACAATTACCATTTGGGGTTTTTTTTCCAGGTTACAAACACTTTCCATCACCAAGTGTTTGTCTGATTGCACCCAGGGGCCAAAAGGAATAGTCACTAATTACCCATCTCATTTAATCCCTCCAGAAAAAGTAGGGCACCACAAGAGCCTGGGAGCAGTCTGAAGCAAGACATTTTCTCAACTGCTCTGTGAGCAACCCTTTGTTAACTGTACTGTAATCTACCCCACCACTACCTTCTCTCAGCATCAGACAGCTTATAATTTCAATTTTCACTGCTTATCCTTTATCACCTGAGCTATAATTCTAGAGCAGCCTCTCGTTCACACACAGGAAGATGTCTCATAAGCTGAAAATAACCACTATTGGTTTCTAGCTATGTGTTTGAGACACCACACTGCAATGAAACAAGAAAACTGATAATGAAACCAAGCAGAGGCAGTGAGAAACAGGCACCAGCACCTCACTCCAGCCTGTGTTCCCTGGAGTTAATCATTGCCATTCCAGGCAGGCCCAGCCATTGGGTCCATCACGGGAATTACACGCATGAACTGAGCCGGCTCCACGCTGCTCACGCTCAATTACATTAAAATGCAGCTCAGCCCTCCCTGCAGCTCTGGTGCAACAAACCAGCAGCACCTGGGATGGCTCCAGCTCCAAATCCTACTCTGAAATGCTGGGCTGTAGCAACAAGGAAGGGGCTCCTCCTCACATGATTCATCCCCACCTTATTTTCAAGAGTTCAAAGTTAATGAAAACCAGAAGAATGTTTTGGTGTGAGGATAAATAATGTAGCTAAGACAGTTTCTCAGAGCTCTGCACCTGCAGGATAATTCTGCAAGCACAAAGAAATTAATTAAGAAGTCACATTTTTAAGACTGATGTGTTCATAATTAACCTTAACCATGCCAACCAATTAAGTTATTTGCTTACAAATCACTCATGTCTCCTCTAGGTACCAAAAAAAGCCAACTACCAACCAACCACTGTAGAAATTCTGGAATAATTGCTAAATGCTGGTTCTATCCCAGAAGAATAAATACCATTCTCCAAGTGGGAAAATCAAAAAGAATATTGTCCCAGACTAGTCTCACTAGCCAATTTTCCTCAAAGAAGGCAGTTTCCATGCTACACCCCTACAGTCAACACTTTAATTTGCCAAAGGAGAGAGAGAAATCAAGCCACTAAAGTAATGACTTGAAAGCCCTAATCCCCAGTACAGGATGCCCCAACCCTTAAAATAACATTTAAATAATATTGTGATCACCAGCAGTAATAACAGAGTTGTTTCATCACTTACTTGTCCAGAGTTTCATCTAAAGTCTCATAGGAGTTCTTGTAGCACTCTATTCTTTTCATGAAGTCTTCTGTGGCTTCATCATTGCTACAATCCACATAGTCAGGACTGCCCAGCTTCACTTGCTGTTTAAAATAAAACCAGGAGAACAGTATTTAAGTTTCCTTTCCTTCTACATGGATGTTTAAAGAAATAGAGAGTGGGAGAACACAACAAAAAGCTTTGTCTGCAACTTCATTAAAATACATGTAAAGCAAAAAAGAACTACTCTTCAGAGAATTAAACTTCTGAGCTAGTAACATCCACATCGACAGGGGAAAAAATTTTTTTCCATTAATGAGAGCTAAGGTGGGGTTTTTGCTATTGAAGTTCTTATAATGTACTTCTAAAAATAGTAAGCTACTTTAAGCCTCCCAATATCAAGCAAACTTAACTTTACTCACCACAATGTTTGCAGCAATGACCTCTGGATCAACACATACAGACTCCACAAAAAAGGTCTTCAGTCCAAATGGGAGGAAGAAGGAACAGAAGAGAGGAAGAAGGAAGATGCATGAGAACACCTCTGGGTACTAACACACAAGCAGCACATCACTCACTTCCATGCCAAGGCCTTTTCCCTCCATTTACTCAGAAAGCTTCTCCAGATCTCTCATCAGAAATCCCTGGCTCCCCATTCCATGACACATCATGCTCTGTGCTCTGTTCCCCAACAATGCTTGCAAGTGGAAAATTCTTGCAGTACAAAAAACGTAGGATGGAAGAGGAAGAAACAAATGCAGAGGATGCTGGTTCAGCCCCACAAACAGTAACTAACATTTCTGAATTAACATTTCAGAAGCCTCCCAACTCATGGAGTAGCCTCACTTATAAAGAGGCTTGTGTTCTGCTGTGTCAAAGGCTTACAGAGATTAAGTTTAGAGGAAATGAAAGACGACTGAAGAACAGCTAAATGTAAAACCAGAAGGTAGAAAACCACTAAGTTCAACTAACACAGAACCCCTTCGTGTTCCTGCAGCAAAGATCTGAACTGCATGAAGAACCATACTTCAAATGCTCTTTCTGACACTGCACTCGTGACCACAGGTCCAGGAAGACAAAATTGGAGCTGTAGCACAAAATACCTTAGCTCCAAACAGTACAAACACTAAGGATGAGAAAAATGAGGACTGAATGACTTCTAATCACAAACAATGCTTAGGAACACAGAACACATTATTGATTAAACATCCAAGAAGGACATGGCTTGTGCAAGTGCACTTAGATAAAGGCAAAACTACCACTGCCTTACTTGGCCATGCAATAGCTCAGAGCTGCTTTGCTTTCACTCACCTTATATCCATTTTCTTCACCAAATTTATAAATAGTTTCTCTACGTTCTCGAGTTGTGTTTGTAGCATCAAAGACCTAGGAATAATTAAAGGGAAAGAGAAAAAGGAATTTAAAAAGCAGCACAGCCTTTGCAAAGCACTGTGCTAGTAACAACACAAATATGGATTTAAAATCCCTCTGTGTAAAGGAAAGCAATGGAAACTTCCCCTTCCCTCTACCCCACTATCTCAACATGCTCAACAAGAAAACAAAGACATTACTACTTTATACATACTATTCTCTCAATACTAAAATTTAGTAATATTTTGAAATCAGCTCTAGCAGAACTCTGGATTTGGAAAAGGAAATCAGAATTTAAGCCTAGCACATAGTACAGGAGAGAATCTTCCTCCTTGCCCCTTATCAGCATTAAATATTAACACACAAGTTTTTAGTGAACTACTGCAACCAAAAAAAAAAAAAAGCTGCAGTTCAATGGGCTGTTCAAAATGCAAGTGTAAAATTTGCAAGAGTTGTAAACCCTGCCCATGAATAACACCATCAATGCAGCCATTTTTCTAAGAACTCAGTTTATCTCTGAACACATCAAAGTTTTATTAAAGTATGAAGTTCTCCAAAGCATAACATTTACCTCATGTATTCAGCAGAACTTATAGTTAATGGTTTTCCCTGTTTAGTTAATAAAAACCCCAGAGTTGTGTCAGTAGTCTTAAGACAAAAAATTTATAAATTAGTCTTAACATGCAATGTCAATAGTTGAAGAACTGATGCTTTGTATCCCATTATTAAATAGTCAGGTATACACCAACTTATAAGAAGTTTCTGCTGCTCTCTTCGGACATTTATCATGCCAGTAATAAGTGCCAAGAGGATACCTTTTGTTCAGCAAGTCTTTACCTTCCCCTTGGAACAGTAAACTATCAAATAGACATGCAAGCAAAATGACAGATGTGTTTAATAGTACATTGTGGAGCACTATTCTATAGCAATGTGGAGAGAAGATGGACCTTTTTCTTGGTGTTATCCTCCTCTCAGCTAACCCCTCAAATGAAAGGTAGTTGCACAAAATGGCATCATCACCCTGAAATCCAGCACTCACTCCACTGCAGCAACAAGGCAGACCTAACTGCCAAAGGACAGAAATGTGGTGCACTGGACAGCTGCTGTAACCACTCAGGCTGTGTATAATCCAGCAGACACAGAGTTTGGTGCAGAGGCACCTCAGGAAAGTGTCTCCAAGAAGAAACTTACAGCCACGTGCCCGTTCTCCTCGCTGAGGTACTGCCGGACGTCGTTCAGCGCGGCTAAGGCACACTGTCTGCACAGGGAAAGAACCACAGAATACACATAAGGGCATCTTGTTATGCACTTGGGAGAAAAGGGCCCTGCAAATGTTAAGATCATTTCTTTCAGAAACAAAGACTTCCCTCTAAACATGGGGAAAAGCCAACAGAGATCAGCCAAGCTACGCTAAGGAAACGTGGTCATGTCACCTTGGCTCCTGTGCCACTGACACAGCTGCTCATGTCCACAGAACACCCACCAACTCTGCTTGAAGGATACCCTTCCACTGATCTAAAATAACATCACTGAAACATCCCTGTATGCTTTTCCCAATTACCTATTCATTCATAACTGCTTCTTAATTTGATTCGCAAAATATTAAAAAAAACTAATCAACTCAAGGCCTTTATCTTGTGGCACTGAGTTGGAGAGGCAACTATTTTTCAGTAATCTACTTACTCTCTTTTGAGCTATTGTGTGAAAACTGCTTATGCAGAAAAAATTTGTTAAAACAGAGAGCAAAACAAAGGTAGCATCAAGTATTAGTGACTGAGGTGAAATATCATCCCACTGCAGTCACCAACCCAGTGTAATTAGACCTAGAGACAGCTGAGGGCACAAACACCAAAAATCCCCACGCTGACATACTTTACACTTGTGTTAAATTTGGACAAGAACACATGAATATGCAACTTTCCTCTGTCCCCAGCATTAGCATTATCTTCAAAGTCCATTATGATTCCTAACACATCAGTAAAGCTGGAGGGCAACATTGTACACGATTTACTTGTTAGCAGAACAAAGCCCCATTTATTCCCAGTAAGTACAGCCTCTCTGCAGTACCAACATAAAAGCCTGCCCATTTCAACAGCTCTTCCCTACATTACTCCTAAATTTTCTTTCCAGACTGAAATTCATAACTGCTCTATTTACCACCTTCTGGAAGCACAGCTTTATCTTGAAAGAGAAATGAAGGCTTTTGGATCCCGACAGTATTTCCACATTAGCACAGTTAACAGATGTCAGGAGCTGAGATTCATCACCCAGGTCTTCACTGAATAAATACAAACCCTCTTTACTCATTGCTAACCAGGCAGATCATCTCACACAGCCCATTTCATGCTACATCCCTCAGCACTTAGCCTAATAGGTGGCACAGAGGCACATTAAAAGGTTTGGCTCTACCTGTAAGCAAAAAGTAGTGGCTTGCAAAGCTAATGCACCTCATAACTGCTCTTATCCCCAAGGACTGGGAGGCTCTTATGCAGCCTGTTCTCCTTTGCCTTTAGCAACACTCAGTGCTGCTGACGGGGAGAAAGGGAAGAGAGAGGGGGGACAAGGCAAGGGACAGCCACAAAAGAACTCCAGATGGTTTTGATGTATAAGGTGAAGCTGAATTAAAAACAAGGCAGTCCATATTTTAAGTAGCCTAAATAAATACTATTTCTATCCATCTCAAATTTCTCATTTCCTTCTCTTTCACACTGCATGCTCTAAGGGCTTTCCTGAACGCACTAAAAAGTACAGTGAGTGTCCAAAGAAATCAAAAGGCCCTCTTGTTTGATCTCCTCTAGGAAAGAAGCAGCTCCCTCTTGCTCTGACCCTTTCTCCTGAAGGTCTGCCCTACATTAAAGCACAGCCTCTTTCCAGGCAGGAGCAGAAACTCAAATGCTTCATCTGGACACAGAACTCTGCTTCTCTCCTTGCTTTGCACAGCATTAGCAAAACATGGCAATTTTTGAGGCTGTGCATTGGGGGAATGAATGAGGCACCTGCATGGTGGCCAAACCCGCAATTTCAGGGAGAAAATGATCACATTTGATCCTCACTCATTTAAGCAGATAATGATGAATACATTCAATGTGCTCCAGATGAACAATTTCATTATGCACATCAAAAAGAAAAGCAGTTATGTGGGTTTTTTCCTTTATGAAGCAAACAAAAGCTCTAAAATGGGATTTTAGGAATTAGGCAGCAGCAGGAGTCACATTTATTAGCTGGCACTCTACAAGAAGGTAGGAAAAGTTATAACTATCTGTTAAAATAGTTTTTCAGTGAAAATATCCTGGAGTATCTACAGGAGTAACAGTAGTCACATCCTAATGAAAATGAATCAAGGACTTCTCTCAATTTCTGATGCTTGAGATGAAACAATTAAGAAAAAAAGACTCCCAAATTTTAAACAGCCTAAAGAAATCACTATTCCATCTTCTCTAGAATGTATTTTCCAGCAGTGTCCCTAAGGTCTTCTTGATCATACAAAAATGCAACTTCAAGCAATCTCTAAGAGCAAATTAAACAGGATATCCTTTTAATACAATTAGCATGGTGTACCAAGCACAATCAAAACTTACTTCCTGATTTTCAAGCCTTCTTCATTGTCAGGCAGGAAGAATTCAAAGGATTTATACTTTTTCACCAAATCTCGACGATACTGACCAACATTAAATTCTGCCAAAAGAAAGCAGCATTAGCAAGAGCAAACAACAGAAGCATGAAAAGGTCATGACAACTTTGAAACCAAACTTCCTGCAAAGATAAAATAACTTGGCCTGTAAGAAGTCAATCGATCATACTTCTTTTTGTGTTTTGTGAGGTTTAAAATAGCCAAGATAGCAATAAATCTCGGAAATAGCTAAAGAACATTTGGGCTGTAGTCACTCTAATTCAGTGGCCACACTGTAGTGCCTTTGTCTGCCAGTTTGCCTGGACAACAAAAAGGAATTATTTTCCTCCTTTTCAGGAGTTACTCAAAGTCTATCGGAGTTACTCAAAATCTATCAAGGACTAGTAATGATTATTGGTATTAATAATAATTTATTATTATCATTAGCTTCTTCTTCTTCTATGTATATGTACAGTGAAACAGTATTCAGATAGCACCTCCCAAAACTTACAACTCTTCTTTCAGCACAAGGCAGAGCTCTAAATAGAACTAAACAATCTTGCTTTAAGTAAACAAAACTTAAAATTCCAGTAGTGAAAACATTTTTTCAGAACCCCACTCTAATATTTCTATTCCTTAAGGATTAATATTTCACAACCCTTGTTCCACTTACTGCGGAAAAAAAAAAAGACAAATTGCTAAAACAAAAAAAAAAATCATTTAAAAATCATCCTAAGTATGAAACAATCTCACTGTGATCTCATCTCAGTGGTCAAAAACCACCTACTCCTTATCTGGGTGAAGGTGCAAAAGGTCCATGGCCAAACACAGTATCAGGTATGGGATTAGGGCAAGACAGTTCTGCTTTGCCCCAGAGCAGAGTGACACTGAACCCTAATTCATTTCATTCAATGGCTCTGAAAGCAGGCCTCTGAAATACAATTAACGTTTAAGTTGTTTCAGACCTACAGGGTTTTTCTGTTGAACTGCAAAGCTTTTGGTTTTGTTTTTTTTTTGTTTTTAGAATTTAACCACACTGAAGTATTCTGTTTGAGATGCTGCCAAGGTACAACTCTATTTGCCAGACTTCATTTCTGGAAAGAGGAAAAGAAGCAGTAGACTCAATTACAAGGCTGTAGTTAAGAAAGAAGACATAGAATAGAAAAGCTCATGAACCAGCAGTTGTACACAGATTGCTGCTGGGATTGGAGGCAGAGCACAAAGATACAAAAATTATTTTTCTCCCCAAAAGACAAAGTTTCTTTGAGCTCAGCAGTGTTGATGGAAATCATCATGACATGGATTACAGAACAGTCCAGGTGATTCTGTGATGGTTTTAATAAGCACTGGCCACACTGGCTACATGGAAATGTGGGTCCTTGTAAAAAATAATGAATTTCATGAGAAGGAATAGTTACTGCCAGAGGGCCATGCAGAGGAGAGGAAAAAGTGCTATCTAGTGGGACAATCTCCAGCCTTTATTCTTAGCAGCCATGCCTATGGAAAATTTTCTCAAAGCTCACTGGTATCACAACCACAACTATTCAAAAAAGCTTCCAAGGCTTAGTATCTCCAAACCACATTGCAACACAATTCTATTCAGATATCTAATTGACCTCATTTCCTTCAAAAAGCACAGACAAAAGTCCCCTGTACTTTTAACCATTTCCCATTTTATACAACAGAGGATTTTGGAAGGAAGAAAACACAGAAATGATGACTGAAATGATTTAACCATCACCAAAAGCCTGGGCTATTTACCTCCACCTTCTGTTCTTGAACTCTCCAGCTTGCTTAACGTTACATGAAAAGATGGCATTTATCTTTTCTCTGGTTTACATAACCTCATCATTTGAACCATCTGTCTCAGAGAACAAGAACTCCTGCTAAATTAAGCACACACTAATTTTAAGACATTAAGAGCCAAAGGGTAGCAGATGTTAGGGCTACTTGATACTGATCCTGTATCACTTCAGTCCCACCAAGTGGAAGAATTAGGGAAAATGTCATCTATCCCCTCAGCCAGGCAGTGAGGTGTTTCACAGTGACTTCAGTAAAATTGCATCACTGAAGACACAAACAGAAAGGCTCTGTGGTTTGCTGAGAAAATCCCAGCCACCCTTTCTAACAAAGACAAACAATACTCAGCAACTAAGGACACAAACTCATGGCAACTTTATGTTAAATATTTTTATAAAATCAGGCAGCAATGCTCTACCTGTTTGTCATCAAGCACAAGTGTGTGTGTTTTCTGATGTGCTGCTCACAGTAGCCCACAGAATTTTTCCTACAGTTGGGCCAAACCCCACCTACAGTACAATTAGTATTTGGGGATTAATTCAACCAAGCATGAGCCAGATGTGGACAAAATCCTTTCTTGCTGTCCAATACTGGACTTCTGCTAGTCAAAGATCACACAGTAAAGTGCTCAAACTCAATGACATTTATACATAACACATCTCCTAAATTTAAGTTACATGTCTATCTAACATACAAGCATTTTGTCACCTTGGATATCGGCTAAACTGCTTGGATTGTTATTCCATTTCAGCCTAATGGATAAAACTGAACTCTGAACTAGCTGATACTGGTCATCAGAAGGGTTAAACCACATGAAAAGAGTCAAAATCAAGTGATAATTTAAATCCTGTAAACTGTCATACTTAATATATCCCCCATAATGTCTCTTCTAAATAAAGCACATTATACAAGTTCCTAAAAACTTAAGAAAACACCCACACAAAAAGCTTTACCCTAGAATCAAAAGGCAGTTTAAGTATAGGCCAGAATTTTTCATCGTGACTTCTTAGAGTGACTAGGAAATACATCTCTGAACAGCCAGCCAAAACTCCACACTTCAGTATGACCTCATATGTGTAATGCCATTTAAATTATTAACTAGGCATGAAGCTACTATTACTGCACTGGACACAGAACCCCAGCACACCAAATGTGTCTTGCTGTTCTGCACAGAGACAGGAGAAGGAAGGGGAGGTGGCTGCTCAGAACCTCAAATGCACTTAGGTGCTGTTTATGGGCCCACAAGACACCACAGGAGCCCGGAGAGGTCCTTGGCACAGCCAATCTGAGCCATTTCCTGCCCAAAACACACAGGGAAATCTTTAAGGAGGTGATAACAAGTGGCTGCCTCAGCCTTTGGGCTCTTGGTATTTAGACAAAGAACTGCAAGTCATTACACAAACATAAAGAAGTAAGGAACTGCAAGCAGCACAAAGTTCACAGAGAAGAAAAGATGGAGAATCGAGAAGTTTAACAAAGTGAAGTGCTCAAACTCAATGACATTTACACATAACATATGTCATAAATTTCAGTTACATGTGTATCTAACATACAAGCATTTTGTCACCTTGGATACAGGCTAAATTGCTTGAGTTGTTATTCCATTTCAGCCTAATGGATAAAACTGAACTCTGAACTAGCTGATACTGGTCATCAGAAAGGTTAAACCATATGAAAACAGTCAAAATCAAGTGATCACAAGTTGCTGCCTCAGTCTTTGGGCTCTTAGTACTTAGAGGAAGAACTGCAAGTCATTCCACAAACATAAAAAAGTAAAGAACTGCAAGCAGCACAAAGTTCACAGAGTAAAAAAGATGGAGAAGTCGGGAAGTTTAACCCAGAAGTGGTGATTGCTCAACTGTTTGTAAACAACATTCCTGTTCACCTAAATGAAGAAAGGAAAAGGGAAACAAGGAAAAAAAAAAAAAAAACACAAAAAAGGGCAGTGTTTCATGATAAGGGAAAAAGTTTGATTTAGGCACCTGACAGAACAAGAAGATAAAGGAACTGTCAACATAATTTGATTAATTAACACACAAACAGCAACGTGCCTGTGTATGTTATTGCCTAAAAATACATTAACAAAGCAGAAGGATTTTTAACTAGACAGACTTGGCAACAAAATTACTGGAAATCAGGTTTATAAACCCCCTAAGATTGTGCCCTGTCCTTCTGCTGTAAACAACAGTAAACCCATCACCTTTTGTGGGCACTCCAATCCAGTTTAGGTAGCGTGTCAGCTTCTTGGAGATGTAGGTTTTTCCTCTTGCTGGGAGACCCACCATGACAATCAGAGTAGGGCAATTGGTCATACATACTGCAAAGGAAACACAGGAAGTCGGGATTTACCAACAGCATTCCCACAAAGCAAAGGCTGCTGATGCTGCAGGGAAACCCCTCTCTGTGAGCCCCCCAAGGAGGTGCCCCCAAGCAGCTCATGCACTGTGGCACCATTTGGGGCTCCACAGCAGCACAGGGACCCTGATCTCTCTTCTTATGAATTTTGGAAGGGTGAGTCAGTGGTAGTGCAATGGTGGACATGTGAGGTGCAAACAGGCAGGAAAGAAGAAACCTGTGCGTTGCACACAGAAACAATACCAAAATAAAGACAACTGACATCTTATGCCCCTGTGTACCTCAGTTCAGTGCTTGCATTGAAAGGAAACAGCAAGGTGTACAGTTTTAAAATAATTTTTGTATTTTTAAGACAAGATCTAAACATGGTTCAACCTTTTCTTGATTTTGAGCAAAACGAGCATGACAAATACATCTTTATACATTATAGTAAAACAAGCTACTCACTACTGATTATTTCTCCTTTAAGTATAATTAACAGTAAAATCTCTCTTGAGCAGAACTCATTTTGACTGTTACTAAGAATAATACAAGTATTCTATATAATCAAGTATAATAATCTAATATAGATATATGTACACATTCTTAATTAAAGTCGTGGCATTTAATTTAAAAACTCAGCAGTATAGGAGGCTGAAGGAATTGTATTTGTAATCTGAAAATCTTGTGTATTTCCTTTCAAATCACAAGTTTTTGAACATTTTAACAGCACAAAACTAAGGATACCTTGCATTAATCTATCACAGCTACAAGGAACTGCCTAAAAAGAAAGAAGATGTTAAAGTGATGCAGATACCACCAGCTCCCTCTATTATTAAGGGAATTCATTTCTACACAATCCACATGTCTATTGATTTCCTCAGTGCCTTGACAGAGGAGACATCAATTCACTCCAAAAGACCAAATCTCAGTGATTAGCTGTAAGCCATAACTGAATTGTTGTACAAAGGGCTGCGATTGCTCAGAATTCCCAAACTCCCATCCCACAAAGTCACTTGCATAAACCTGGTGCAGAAAGTTCACATGACTGAATCAAAAAAGAACAAGCAGATTAGCAAAGGCAGATGTGCTGTTTTAAAATGCACAATGAAAGACACAAACCAAAAAACATTAAAAATACACCACTTTTCATGAGGGAGAGGAGGTGAAATGGTACCCAACCTCAAATCCATGAAACACTCTACTCCCTGTAATGACAGCTACAGGGAACTAAATGCAAAGCAAAACAGATCCATCCAAACATGGCCAAGTCTCTGGAAGGACACTGATAAAAACCCTCAGAGAAAGTTCCTCTGTGCAGAAGCCTATAAGGAAGAAGGGTAATAATTTCTTTTCCTCTTTGTCATAAGTTCAGGCTGTGAAGCCCCTGTCCAAGAGGCTGAAGTCTTTAGGGAAACAACAACTATGGAGTGCCAAGAGCACAGTGCTTATGAAGTTAACAGCCTTGCTTCCGGCTTTAAGGACAGTGCAATAAAATACTGAGGTGAGAGAAACCCCGGGGCCCCAAGAAATTTTAAGAGAAGACATTTTTCTTCAAAGCCTGTTCAAAAGATCCTTCACCTGAAACATCTAGCTCAAGTTTTGAACAATTTTTCGGTATAAGTAGTAAAGTAAGAGCAGTAAAAGACAAACCAGGATCTGTACAGAAAGGCTCTGTACACAGCCCAAACTCCTCCTGCTCTGCAAGAACTGTGCTGTAACAGGCTTTTCTACCCATTCCAAGCAGAATTTACCAACTTTTTGTTCTTAGAACAACTGCTTTTTTCTTTTTTTTTTTTTTTCCCTGCTGCTGGGGTCAGCCATACAAATTTCACCTCCTCACAGAATATCCGTCCTCTGGTATTGCCATGATAAACCTGTATGGAGCAAAACTGAAGTCTGGGAAGCTTCCATGAAGAGTCCTGCAAACCACTTAAATTAAATGGCTGCTTCACAGATTATATCAACAGCTAAATTTCTAAATTAAGTCCTTCTTAAGGCCTGCATGGGTTTGTGATATATTTTCTAACCAAGCAGCAAGCTAGATCAACCCAACTACAATATGCACGAGGGAAATTCAGTGCCAGTCTGCTACCGCCTCCATTTTTACAGATATATCCTCAAAGAAAGTACAAAACCAGCAAAGCTGCCTTTGTTAGAACCCCATGTGTCCAGTTTAACAGGCACATCTCACCCATTATTCCAATCATTCTGGTGAGTAACCACAGAGCACAAACCAAGAGAAATATCCCAATAAACAAGTGGCAATCCTACTCTTGTTAGGTGCCAGGCTGACCAAGAGTGCTTTTACTCTATAAAGACAGATGTCTTTGTAAGGAGGAACACCACTGATAACAGTGATCCCAAATCTGCTTTTACAAAAAGCCACAGCCCTGTAAGCAACACTTCACAGGCCATGATGCTATAGGAATGTGCCACCCTCAGGGCTTGTCCTTAACAAGAGGGGGGCAGCTCACAATCTAAAATTCAGGGCACCAAAGAAATGTTTGGTGTTCTGGATTGTGAGGCTGCAGCCTCACACCACCTGCACAGGTGGCACTCAGTGACAAACACACCTGTGCACTGGCAAGCAGAAGCCAAAGGCACCTGTGCTGGCCAAAACAGCCCATTCACAGCTAAATGAGAGAACTAAAAATAAAAGCACACAAAGCAGCTATTTCACTTCTTCTGTACCTCTGTGCAGCATTCTCAACACAAAAAAACTCAGCACAGCAGACTTATGATCCTTTGTAATTAACAATGCTTAATTTTGCTCATTAACTGAATAAAAAAGTTAAGACCAGAACAGAATGCAAAGTTCTGGTATGTATCAAATGGATGTATCAAATACTGCAAAGAAATTAATTATCTTAACTTTATCTAAACCACAGTTTCTTAACAGAACCTTGCCAACACTCCCTGCAAGCAGGGGAAATAGTCATTCCGTGAGTATTTTCAATATCAGTGTCTCATGGTTTACATTTTCCCTTGAAGAAATGTAAGCAAGCTTGACACGAGGAAGTAAGCTAATAAAAATAGCCAAGCATACCACAAATTACATATATCCCAGTGACACAGTGGTAGATCCCCCTTTCCACAGCACCTCACCATCTTTCCATTTATATAAAAACTTCAGTGTGGGTTACAGGTGAGTTAGGACCAAAGCAGATTCCTAAGGGCAGCTTTCTCTCCACTCCTCACCACTGGATTGTCTGGTTTATCTTCAGAAATATCTCTACACACAAAACAATCTCATTTTTCACTACTGCTTTGCCTATGTAACCCCTAAGGGTTTCTGACAGCCCCAACCCGTGGATGTGCCATCAACAACTTGTGTTAGAGGAACACAAGCACTCAGAACAGTAAAACAAAACTTACAGCTTGTACACCATTGTCTTCAGTCAGTTTTTTCTTTAAAACAGATGCTTGTGATATATACATTTAGGAGTGCATGTTTATAAACAACATCACCAAAGAGAGGGAAAACATAAAGAAACACACCCAAAATTCCAATCATTGAAGGAAAATGGCCATATGATGAAATGCTGCAACTGAAGCAAAGTCACTATCCCAGTTTAATATTTCTTAAACATTAGAACAACACAGCAAGTTGCAGCTTGAGAGTAAAATGACGACTGCCTACCCTTCCTAAAGTTTAAGACTTAACAGTCAAGGAGAAAGAAATGATATGTTTATTTCTTGCTTCTATTGTGAAATAACACAAATGCAAAAGAAGGTTTTGAAACCAAACTGGGACATGGAACAATCTAGATGAGCTGTGCTGCAATTCATCAGCCCTCGAAACTTTTTGGATCTTGTGAAATCCGAGTCAGGAGTTGATGTCTTCCAGGTTCCCTTACTACCAAACAAATCATCAGCTGTCCTTTCCTTTGACCCAGAATTAGATTTTGTTTTTTCCTTACATGTGTTAAGGACACGTTTTTTGTATCAAGCTGTTACTGTTAGAGATTTGAAGTTTACAAAGTGTTCTTGCAGTTTGTATGGCCTTCAGTTCAAGGCCTGTTCTCCAAAAATCCTGCACTATTTCGAGGCTCATACACAAATATTGCTGACTTTAAGCCAACAAAACCATCCTTCCAAATAAGGTCAGCCCTACATGCTTTTCCCATCACTTACCCAAGTTAACCATTGTTAATCCATCATATCTTTTTGATCAACAATGACAACCAGTCTCCCTTCTTTGCATCCCATGGGGACAAGTTCCCCATCCTGCTGTTCTTCCTGGAAAGCATCTGCTCCCAGACCTGAAGAAGTCCATCACCTTCTAATTTGTATCTCCTCTTTTTGTCCAAACCACCAGTTTTTACCATCATCTTGGTCCAAGGGATTCAGAATTCACATTTGTCCCCTGCCACCAGCTGTTCTGTCATTCCCTTCCTCAGGGTCACCTTTTGCTTCTACAGCTTTGATGCCAATAGCCAGGATCCCACCTCACATCCTGCCCCTCAGGCACCATCCTCACCTCATTCCCTCTCCTATTTTCAGTTCCTAGCATGAGGAGCATAAATACACACAAGCAGCATGTGCTCAAAGGGTAGAGTTCTTTAGAGCAGAGATAATAATTTGATACTTTTTTGGGGGGGGATGTACATTTCTACTGCTGTATCAGCAAATGACATTTATTAGAATGACCAAATTTCAGCAGCTGTCAGGAAACAAAGCATTTAACTGTAGTTGGGGAGGAATGTTTAACCACAGGAAGTTCACTATTTATCTCTCACTATAAACATCCTCTGCTGGCTCCCCAAACAACTTTCACTAGGGCCTACTCAGCTATTTGTTTTTTATGTCCATGTTTACATCCCTCTGCTTGATTCAGAGGTTACAGCAATCTGAACCTCCAATGCCAAGAACAGCTTTCATTCAACTTATTCACAGACAAAACTCTCCACAGGTGACCACAAAAGGCAAGCCACCGCTATTAATATGCACAAGACGCAGTTGCAGTGCCCTCAGGTGTGA